GTCCAACTCTGCGTTTAAGGCTGGATTCCGCTTCGACCCCACGAACGAGCGCTACCTCCGGAAAGTTTTTGACGAGGAAGTCATGCAGGAAATTGTCAGGTCGGCGGAAGTCATCTCCGCCGTGGAGAAGGAATGGAAAACTTTGAAGGCTGACCGTGCCACGATGCGGGAAATCTTCCCTTCTGGAGAATCGCATGTCGTCCTCCCATGCAATTTGAAACGGATGATTTGGAACGTGCAAAAAATTTTCCACATCGACAAACGACTCCCGGTCGATCTCAACCCGATCAGAGTGATTGCAGGGGTGGAAAACCTATTGAAAAAGTGTGTCATCGTGCAAGGGGAGGATGCCTTGTCGGTCCAGGCGAACAGTAATGCGACCCTGCTCTTCGGCTGTATGGTGAGATCCATGCTGTGCACGAGGAAGGTCGCGGAAGAATTCCACTTGTCGACGGAGGCGTTTGAATGGTTGATCGGAGAGATTGAGATGAGGTTTCAGCAAGCCATGGCGTCTCCGGGGGAGATGGTGGGCGCTCTGGCGGCGCAGAGTTTGGGCGAGCCGGTGACTCAAATGACGCTCAATACCTTCCATTATGCGGGAGTTAGTAATGTGACTTTGGGAGTGCCCAGGTTGAAGGTGAGTGAGGGGGGAAATTTGCAATAATTTGGCAATTAATAGATAAAAATTTGATTTTATGATATTTTGTCCAATTTTTTATTTAAATTCCTCAATTTTCTCACCTTTCCAGGAAATCATCAACCTCTCTAAGAAGCCGAAATCTCCCTCGCTCACTGTTTTCTTGACTGGAGACACCGCTCGTGACGCCGAGAAGGCGAAGAAAGTTCTCTGCCGTTTGGAACATACCACGCTGCGAAAGATGACCGCGCACACGGCCATTCATTACGACCCTGACCCGCAAAACACGATCATCGCAGAGGATCAAGACTTTGTTAGTATCTACTATGAAATGCCAGACTTTAACCCGGCAAGAATTTCACCGTGGCTTCTCCGCGTTGAACTCGACCGGAAACGAATGACTGGTAAATTCGCAATCCAAAAATTTGTTGGCAATTGAAGTAGTCGAAGTCAGAGTTGTAAAAAAAATAGTGTAATTTGATAATTTCTTAGCGTAGTTAGTTAAATTTCGCACCTTTATTGTAAAATTATATATTGATTTTGATTTAAAATGAATCTAAATTTTGGCGGAAATTTAAACTTGACGAGATTTTCCCAAAGTTTCGTAATAATTTGATTTTCTGTCTCTTCCCCTCCAGATAAGAAACTCACCATGGAACATATCGCAGAGAAGATCAATTCCGCCTTTGGTGAGGACTTGAACTGCATCTTTAACGACGACAATGCTGAAAAGCTCATTCTGCGCATTCGAATCGCACATCCGGAGGATAAATTAGATGATGACGAAGATAACCCAGATCACATGGACGACGCCATGCTCCTTCGCTGCATCGAAGCCAGCATGCTCTCAGAAATGACACTGCAGGGGATCGAAACAATTTCCAAAGTTTACATGCATTTGCCCCAAACCGACGCCAAGAAGCGGACCATCATCACAGAGTCCGGTGAATTCAAACAGATCGCCGAGTGGCTGCTCGAGACGGATGGAACGTCCTTAATGCGAGTCTTAAGCGAGAGGGATGTCGACCACGTGCGAACGTATTCGAACGATATCTGCGAAATATTTATGGTAATACATGCAAAATTTTGGCGACATAGCATTATCATTTTTATTCTAATTTGTATCGTTTTGTTCAGGTCCTGGGTATTGAAGCAGTTCGAAAATGTGTGGAGAAAGAGATTAACACCGTGCTCTCGTTACCTGGGCTGTATATCAACTACCGTCACTTGGCGCTCCTCTGCGACGTAATGACTGCAAAGGGTCACTTGATGGCCATCACACGTCACGGAATCAATCGACAAGATACCGGACCATTGATGAGGTGCTCGTTTGAGGAAACTGTTGATGTCCTGATGGACGCGGCCGTTCATGCTGAAGTTGATCCGATACGAGGCGTTTCGGAAAGCATTATGATGGGTGAGGATAAGAAGAGATTTAAGTGTTCAAATAATTAACGTAGACTCGCTGACCTATCGTCAAAATCAGAACATTTTTAATCATTTCTCCCCTCTGGAAATTTGTTTTAAAATTCTGGACGAGAAATTTATAGACCAAGGAGTTGCCAACTTTTTAAAAATATACACTCCAGATTTTGGCGGGTTTTGACCGATGAGATCTCAAGTTTAAGAAGCCTTCAGAAAAATTGAAACTCATCGAAACTGGCGTATCTTAATTTTAAAAAGTCACCGTCCGTCTATTTATCGACTTACTTAGAGGTAATTAAAAATGATTAAAAATGCGTTGATTTTGGCGATGAGTCATCGAGTCCTATGTTAATTTACAAATTAACAGCAAACCATTTAAAATGATGAATTGTATTCCCGTTCTGAGGCACCATGAATTGCACAACTCCCTGATTACTTGTCAAGAACTTGACAAAAGTATCTCTAACACGTTATCAAGATTTATAATAGTTTTTCCTACCGTTAAGTCCAGAATTTAAAAAAAAATAATTAAAAACGTGTTGATTTCGACTATTTTTGGCGACGAGTCATACTTTGACGAAATCATGATGTTTTTTATTATTAATTTTTCCCAGGACAACTTCCCCGCATGGGCACTGGCTGCTTCGACTTGCTTCTCGACGCTGAAAAGTGCAAGTTCGGCATTGAGGTCCCCACTGGTCCTGGACCCAATGGTGACCTTGGGATGGGCAGTGCATTTTTCAATCTTGGATCTAAATCACCAATGGGCACGCCCTGGATATCTGGCGCCACTCCGGCGTACGACAACGTTTGGTCTCCCGGCGGAGGAATGATGTCGGGTGGACCTGGATTCTCACCATCCGCTGCTTCTGACATATCGAGCTTTTCACCTGGAGGAGGTCGTTCGCCGCTCAGTTCACCTGGAAGCCCAGGCAGTCCATTCTACAATGCTGGGGGTGTGTCGCCGAATTATTCCCCCACCTCGCCTGGGATGAGTCCCTCGTTGCCGAACTATTCTCCTGGATCTTACTCTCCCACAAGTCCGGGTGGAGGTCAGAGTCCGACTTATTCTCCAACGAGTGCTTCACCACAACTGAGTCCATCATACTCGCCGACGAGTCTAAATGGTTACTCGCTGACGAGCCCAATTTACTCGCCGCCGAGGTGACCACTAAAACTTCAATTTGAGATGAAAATTTGTCAACCTTTTTATGCTAATTGATTTATTTCGTATCTTTATTCTAGTCCGAGTTACTGGCCCTCATTGCCCTCAAGTCCAAGCTATTCGCCAACGAGGTAAGAGAAATACTATGGAAATGAAATAAAATTTTCTTAAATTGGTCATGTATTTAATTAATTTTTTTTTAATTTTTGCAGTCCATCTTACTCGCCAACGAGCTCATCTTACTTAACGCCCAGTCCGAGCTATTCACCGACCAGGTAAAAAAATTAGACTTAAATTATAATGTGTTTTTTTTATATTGAAACTGAAATTGTGACGTTTTTTGCAGTCCGTCGTATTCTCCGACGAGTCCAACATACTCGCCTACAAGCCCGTCCTATTCTCCGACGAGGTATTAATCTTAATGTGTGTTTAAAGATTAACGTAGGACTCGATTTATCGTCAAAATCAGCACATTTTGAATCATTCCTGGGCTCTGGAAATTTTTATAAAAATTCTTTATGACAAATTTCTAGAGCAAGTCGTTCTCAATTTAAAAAAATATACCCTAAAGTCATCGAGTCCTACGTTAAGGATAATTCATAATTTAATTAATTAATTAATTCTTTCTCTCTCAGCCCAAGTTATTCGCCGACGAGTCCATCTTATTCGCCATCATACTCTCCCACGAGGTAGGAACTCAATTATAATAATTAATTAGGAAATTCTTAATTAACTAATCTCCTTGCAGTCCAAGTTATTCGCCAACCAGCCCATCGTACTCTCCGACAAGTCCATCCTACTCTCCGACGAGTCCATCTTACTCGCCATCGAGCCCAACCTATTCTCCTTCATCTCCGAATTACAGTCCTTCGAGGTTCGTGACCTAAAACATGCAATGTAGATTGTCATAGCTAGTAAAATTATCAAATGCTTATTTCTTGCAGCCCGAGGTACTCTCCAAACAGTCCGACTAACTCGCTCGGACGGCCCGGATCGCCCAATTACAGCCCTTCGAGGTAATAAACGTGTGGTCACCATCTCCTTTAAAAAAATATTACCAAATTTTTTGCAAGTATTTCAAATATGTTATCTCTTGCAGCCTAAGCTACAGTCCAGCGTCGCCAAGTTATTCATCCCGGTACTCACCAAGGTTTGTAGAAACATCGAGGGTATTCATTGTATACGAGTTCGCATCGCTACATAATTTTGAAAAAAAGCCAGCTAACAATTAGCTTTGGAGGTTCGCAAATGAATGTTCAAGCTAAAGATTTTTGCCAACTTGCAATGAATACCCTCGCAAAAATTAAATTCTCTTCAGAACTTTTAATCTAATCTTGTCCCCGTTCTTACGCAGCTCACCTTCGTACTCACCATCCAGTCCCAACTACAGCCCACAGGCGTCTGTCTCGTCTTACTCACCAACCAGTCCGAGTTACAGACAGAGCTGGGAAAATATTGATTAAAATAGTCAAGCTTAAGATTAAGAATAATTAATCTTAATGAAAAAATTTTATCGTATTAATCAATAATTTTAATCTTAATCTCACACGTAAATTAAATTAAATTTAATTTTTAATTTTTAATCTTTGAATCTTCGACTTTAATTTTAATCAGGATTAATATTATGATTTCACGCCATCTGTTACTCGACTTCCTCGTGCTTTCCTAAAATTTTAGAATTTATCATATAATACCGATATAAACTTTAAAAAAAACGGCGAAAAAATAAAATTATTCTTAATTTATATTATTAATCTAGATTATCGTGCCTATGTGACACATGTTAAAGGGGGTGGGTGGGTGTCCAAAAAATCAAAATATTTTGCGTTATGAAGTTTATGAACGTCCCTTGTAGACTAAACTCGGCATTTATAATTCCACCCCCACCCAAATCCAGAACTTGACCTTTCCCGAGATCGTGACCTCGTTTAATATGGATAAGTACGTTGTAAAAACTAATTTCATATGTAACGATGTTTAAATTATTTACAAAATGATTAATTAATTAAATGAATGTATCATGAATTGTATAACTAAACTAACTCATTCCGAATCTGATTTTTTTACTCGTAACTTTTACTATTTATCAATATGATCTCGAATTGTCTGACCTGTCACCTTTGTTGACCTTGCAGGATGACGGAACTCGTGGCGCGAGGGAATAACCAATATCCCGGAGCAAAGTACATCATACGCTCGAACGGGGACAGAATTGATTTGCGATTTCATCCGAAATCTTCCGATCTCCATTTACAATTAGGATACCGGGTATTTTAAAGCTGCATGTATAATTATGTTAATTGACTATGCAAATATTTATGGGTTTGTCTCATGTCAGGTCGAACGTCACATTCGAGATAGTGATCTCGTAATTTTCAACCGACAACCCACCCTTCACAAAATGTCCATGATGGGTCACAGGGCCAAAGTGCTGCCCTGGTCGACTTTCAGAATTAATTTAAGGTGCGTAGTCGTTAATTTAAAAAATTTATAGTACCAAATCATTGTAAATGATGCGTTAATACAATCTTTTTCTGAGGCAAAGTGGGTCCATGAACTAACTTTTTTCTGATTACTTGTCAAAAACTTGCCAAAGTTATGTCTGAACACGTTATCAAGATTTATAATTAGTTGTTCCGGTTAATTTCAGCTGCACAACGCCTTACAATGCTGATTTTGACGGGGACGAGATGAATCTACACGTCCCACAGTCGATGGAAACACGCGCCGAGGTTGAAAATCTGCACATTACCACGCGTCAAATTATCACCCCACAAGCGAACAAGCCCGTCATGGGGATCGTCCAGGACACGTTGACTGGTGCGAAGAAGATGACCAAGAGAGACGTCTTCCTGACCAAGGTGATACGGTATCACTGATACCATACTTGTAAAAATAAAATGCAAATTATGCTGAGTTTTAGAAATTTTAAAATTTTGTGCTCTCTTTTCCAAGAACAAATGATGAATCTGCTAATGTTCTTGCCTATTTAGGACGGGAGGATGCCGATGCCCGCCATCGTAAAGCCGATTCCTCTCTGGACGGGGAAGCAACTCTTCACGCTTATCATTCCCGGAAACCTGAACCTCGTCAAAACCCACGCCACACATCCGGACGACGAGGACGACGGTCCGTACAAGTGGATTTCCCCGGGAGACACGAAAGTCATGGTGGAGCATGGAGAACTCATCATGGGAATTCTATGCAAAAAGAAGCCCGGAACGAATGAGGGCACTTCTTCACATCTGCTTTACCGAATTAGGTCAACCATCGTAAATAATTGGTTGATGTATGAAGGTGAGTAGTGATTAGTTATTATGCAAATTGACTGGATGCGGATAATTTATTAAGAAATTATACGATTATTTAGGAAACTCAATCGGAATTGGGGACACGATTGCAGATCCTCAAACATATCTCGAGATCCAAAGAACAATCAAGAAGGCGAAGGAGGACGTGATCGAGGTGATTCAAAAAGCACACAACATGGAGCTCGAGCCCACTCCGGGAAACACGCTTCGACAAACGTTCGAAAATCAGGTTAACTGGATTCTTAACGATGCTCGTGACAAGACTGGCGGCTCCGTGAAGAAGTCTCTCACAGAGTACAACCACCAGGATGATCTCAAGCACAAACTTTCCGACATTATTAAGGTCAAGTTAAATTAATTAAAACTTCAACAGCATCTGTTTACTTTGTTTTCCTTTCCACCAGGCCAACAATGAACTTTTGCGCTACGACCAGTCCGGCGCTGCAGCTCACATTATTGCAGAAAATGTTAAAATGCTCCAATTTCACGTGGCAACCCTCACCGATAACGAAATACCCGGTCTGCCGCGCCCCATGCAAACTTCTGGCCGTCCCCTAAAAGCGAACAAAGCGCGGCTGAAGGGAAAAGATAGCAGAATTCGGGGCAACTTGATGTGTAAACGGGTCGAAGTGCTGCCCTGGTCGACTTTCCGAATGAATTTGAGGTGAGTCGTCGTTAATTTAAAAAATTGATAGTACCAAATCATTGTAAATGATGCGTTAATACAATCTTTTTCTGAGGCAAAGTGGGTCCATGAACTAACTTTTTTCTGATTACTTGTCAAAAACATGCCAAAGTTATCTCTAACACGCTATCAAGATTTATAATTAGTTCTCTTCCGGTTAATTTCCACATTTCAGTTGCACATCGCCTTACAACGCTGATTTTGGCTAGGACGAGATGAATCTACACGTCCCACAGTCGATGGAGACACGCTCCGAAGTTGAAGATCTACACATCACGACCCGTCAAATTATCACCCCACAAGCGAACAAGCCCGTCATGGGGATCGTCCAGGACACGTTGATTGGTGTGAAGAAGACGACCAAAAGGGACGTCTTTCTGACCAAGGTGATGTGATAGTTTTTTAAAACAAGAATCAGGTATGAACATCATATTCAAATTTTACTCGTAAATATTTTATTTTATGGTTGGCACTTGGCAGTAAATATAATGTTTAATTAAATCGTTAATTTTAGACTCAATAATAATAATGTCATAATTAATAATGTCATATGTTGTAGGCCCTGTGTTTTACCAGTGTGACAAGTGTGGCACCTTTTTCCGTTCCAAACCCCTGGCCGCAATTCATCTTTGGACTGCAGGGCATGGAAAGTGAGGATTAATTTCAAAATAATTAATTAGTTAATTAATTACTGTACTCATCCATAACCTTGACCTTATAATACAGACCTAGTTCTGCCGGATGGAGCACGGTCCCCTTTCCCACGCCAATATTGAAATTGGACAAATTACTCGAAGTTGTCGTAGCACCAGAAATAGAAACTGATTTTGATGAAAAATTGGCAGCCAGCCCGCTATTCGTCCCAGTCGAGATGGAGACGGAGTTTGAGTTTGAAAACGTCGTCGAACTATGCGAACCTTTGGAGGAATCTGGTAATTATTCATGCACATAAATAAATTTACTGTGGAACTGAAAATTTTGAAGGTTTCTAGTTATACATACTAGAATATTACCTAATAGGTATTCCTCCAAGTTCCGAAAATCCTGTCAGAAAGAGAAAACAGTTCATCGCAAAATATCGCTCTTATGATGAGATTAAAGAAGAAACCGTTCATGAAGGTTTTCAAGCTGTGGTGCAAGGACTAATGACACTCAAAAATGCAGGTAAATTGTGGGGTAGTTAGTAGTTCGTAAATTTGTATATAATTTATGATGAAATTGTGTATTTATTCACCTCCTCGTTTTTATTTTCCTCAACTCAATTTACAAAATTAATCTAATATTACAAATACTTGAGCTTTATACACAACTCTGCAAATTATGCAAAATGATTTTACGAACTTTTAACCTTAACTGCTCCCATTTTCGCAGGAAATGCAACCCTGGCCGACACCAAATCTCTCCCTCCGGTATAAATACAATCCGACACAGGAGTAAAAACTAAATTGACTTGTGACAAATGTGGGAAAACTTTTTCCACAAATTTTACACTCCGACGACACCAGGAAATCGTTAAAAAGTGAGTATTTTGACACCAAATTGTCGACTCAATAAATTGAAGGATTAATTTGCATCCTGTATTTTATAGTTGCTCCAACCTAACCACACGGTACGTTAAATTAAAATTATACTAATTTTTTATACGTGTTACTTGATAACGTTTATTAATCTTCAGTGAGCGAGTTGATTTTACTGGACCAGATAAACGCAAAAACAGGGTCCGACGGTGTCAGCGTGTCGCGATCGATCTATCTTGTGACAAGTGCGACGTCATATTTGTTCACGCTACTTCATTGAAACGACATTTAAGCAACAAAAGGTAATTACTTTTACTTTACAGATTAGTTAATTTTATTGGATTTTCTAAATGCAAACTTTTATGATACACTTTTGCTTCTTAAAGTTGCTCGAACGTCAAGACTCCATCGAGTAGCAATATCAAGAAGACAGGGAGAATAAAGTGTAACAAATGCGACGCGACATTTATTCACGCTAGTTCATTAGAGCGACATTTAAAAAATAAAAGGTAATTACTTTATTATCAAGTCCACTAAATTGTCTTTGATGTTTGGACAGAATTTTAGTTTTTTTATGTTTCTTACAGTTGTTTCAACGTCAAAACACCTGTTCCATTAAGGAGAAAAAGTGCACTGCCATTGGGGAGAATAATTTGTGGCAAATGTGGACTCACTTTTGCCTCAAATTATTCACTCGAACGACATCAGACTAACGTTAAAGAGTGAGTTTTTAATTAAATTGAGTCATTAAAATTACTAACACTAATTTGAATTCCGTATTTTTTAGCTGTTCCAACAAAATCATACTCGCTCAGCTAATCAGAAAACGGTACGTTAAGTTAAATGAAAATGACATTAACATTTTTAACGCTTCTTATTTTCACGTTCGTTAATCCCTAGGCAGCGGGTAGGTTTTACCAGACCAGTTAGACCCAAAACTGTCGCAATCGATGGATCTCAAACTCACTACGAGCAACACGTGAAACTGAAAACTAACTTGAACTCGTCCCCTGCCGAAACTAATGCTATTAGGCAAGTAATAAAGTGTGATAAGTGCGACGTCATATTTCTTTAAGCTAGCTCATTGGAACGACATTTAATGAATATAACATTTAATTGGCTAGTTAATTTTATTATATTTTTAGGAAATAATTTGGATTTTTTCTTACAGTTGTGTTCCATTAAGGGAAAAAAGTGGGGAGAATAAGTTGTGACAAGTGTGGACTCACTTTTGCTTCGAATTATTCACTCAGACGACACCAGAACTACGTTAAAGAGTGAGTTTTGAATTAAATCGAGTCATTAAAGTTATCACTTAAACATTAGATACATTAATTTGTATTGTATTTCGTATTTTTTAGTTGTTCCAACCGAACCCAATTAGCTCGTTTAATAAGAATACGGTATGTTACATAAAGATGGCCATAAAATCAGGATATTTTATCTAATGCATAACATTATTTTCACTTTCGTCAGTCAAAAGCACCCCCGCTTTAAGCGTACCGGACCAATTAAACCCAAAACCCAAACGTACTCTGAGCGTCACTACGAGCAACACATGAAAAGTCACTTTCACTTGTCCCCTGCCCCCAAAGGGAGTCGTAATTCTAGGAAGGCAAGAAGAGTAGTAAAGTGTGACAAGTGTAACGTCACATTTCTTTACACTAGATCATTGCGACGACACTTACAAAATAAAACGTAAGTAATTATTTAATTACTTAATATTGGAGCATTATTTATGGACATTCTTTCCTCCTACGGTTTGTATTTGTAATTTTTATTTAGATTTTTATTTATTTCCAGTTGTGAACGTCGTACTTGTCCCGTTTTCACATGTCGCAAATCGTTCCTCAGTCCTCCCTCCTTGCAAGTTCACATTAGGCTTGTTCATGACCAGAAGGTCGGGGACGAAGGTGGGAGTCAGTGCGCCATTTGCGGGGAGAGTTTCGACCTCGGCAACAAACTTTACGCCCACTTGGCGCTAAAACATGCATCCCAGGATGACGTTGAGGAAGAGAACAGCGTTGTCTTAGTAAAAGATGAAGAAATGATTATTAAAGAAGAGCTGGACGTGGATGATTATGAAAGCTCGTTGTTATCGGAACTAGACGCGGAAGGTGCTGACATGGTGGGTGGCGTGAAACTGGAAGGCGATGAAATGGAAGAGTTTTATGAGAATGGTGTTAAGAATAACGGGATTTTCGACATTCTTGACCCCGATGAAGATCATAATAGTGTTGACGATTTATGAATGCAAAAAATGTCTGACGAACTTTTTTTAGATTGTAAATTTTTATATAATTTCTAATTAGCATGTGAGAATGATTGGACAGTCAAATCCTTATCTGAGTGGTATTCTATTTATGAAAATTATGTATTTACATACATACTACAGAGATGAGATTATTGGATTCTACGGCAGAATTTGTATTAAGAAAACTGACAATAATGTATTTTATACAAGACTTATAAATTTTTGCTAAATTTGCAATGTTGTAATTTATATATTTATCATGTTGATGTAAAGTAAATAAGTGGTCAAATACATATTCGGAATCAATTTCCATTAATACACGCTTTCTTTGTAAATAAATATTATGCATATTGCACACAACGTCAACCAATAATGTAATTGCCCAAAAATACATAGTTCATATTGAGTCAATACAAATTTTCTAAATAATTTGGTATGACGCGTCAAAGTGCAACTCAAACATGCCCGGAGGTTTGGGTTTGGTGCAAACTCCCAACATTCTCGCCGGGCATGACAACATAGTAAGGTAAACATTTCACATAAATCGGTCGCTCGTGAAACGCAAAGACCGGCATTTTCCATGAAGCCTCGACCTACGACATATTATAAAACTTTGATTAGTTACTCCTACTCCTACTCATCATTTTCGTGACATTTTACCTGTTTCCCTCCTGCAATATCTTTGAGCAATTTAAATTCAAACATGTACTTTTCTGCGGTTTCCTTGCCACCAAGCACTGTCATCCAGAAGCTGGCCGTATCCGCACCAATGCGAGAATGTAGGAGGAAAGTATTTCCGTCCTTTTCCAATATCTCAATTGGCCATTTGTGACCCGACACGTCGACTGAAATCAATGGGCGGAAACAAAAATTAATCCCTCATGGTGACAGATTAATTTGAGCGGATTCGTTAGTTGTATGAGACTCTTACGCGATATTTTGTTATCCTTCAATGTCAACGAGTAACGTCGAGATGATCGCTCACGACACTGGTGGTGTTCCTTTAAATGTTTCACGTACTCGTGCATGGCCACTTTTGTCGGTCTACTAGATCCTTCGATGCAAATTATGTCACTGATAAGAGAAGTAGTGATTTAATTTGAGTTGCGAAACGTCACAAATAATAAATAAAATACCTACCGATAGGAACAATTTAGAAGATGCTTTTTCATTTCTGTAGCAGAAATTACTTCAGTACAGCCAGAATTTTGGTTTAGACACGACAATTTCAAATCGAGCTGGACAATCGTTTAATCGTGCATTATTATATTTTCTACTTAAACTAGCAAAAATTGACAACAAACCTGTCGAGAAAGCCGTTCCGCAAAGGCTGACACGTGCAACGCCGTCTGACACATGCCACACTTCTGCACCTTATCGGCACAGATCCCGCAAATGAGGTGGCCATTGGCGCAACTGTGGATTGGCGAGGCCGGCAGATCCAGACAGATGGTGCAGTCGAGATGGTCACCAAACTCTGGGCGGACAGGTGGCACCCCCTAAAATAACAGACACTTTTTAAAGGCTCATTTCATAAGTCAGTTAAATCGTATATCTAACAAATCAGCTGCACATAAATTACACTATAATTCTCCTAACAAGGATTGGTAAAAACAAAATGGCAAAAAAGATCGAAATAAGGGCAAAAATTATGTGTGCATGAACATAACTTGACATATATGTACATAGATTGGCCAAACTGAAATTTTAAACGGGACTTTGTATAAACCAAACCAACGACATCGTCGACACAAAAAAGTTCAATTCAGATTGGAAAACCAAATATAAAAAAAAGTAAATCGATTTAATATATTGGTCAACGAAATTGGTCTGCAAATCTACCGTCCTACCAAAAATGTTGAACAAATGAACTAGATACCTCGTCATCTTTCTGCTTGTCAGAAGCCGATGTTCCAGATCGGGCCGTTTTTTCCTTGGGGGGCTCATTCTTCTCGTCGCTCTCCTCCCGGTCGTCACTAATTTTAGATTTTTTTGTCTCTGCTGTGCTCGTATTTTTCGGCCTAGCGCCCCGTACTTCAACTTCCTCGTCGGAGGAGGATTCACCCAAGAAGGGGTCGAAATATTTTACCCTCTTCTTGCTTGAGGGCGTGGCAGCGGTACGTTTGTCGGTACGACGACTTGTATCAGCACCTCCGTTGGTGGAAGATTCTGAAAAAAATTAATTAATTAAAAACGTATTTAAAAAAAAGTGCGATGTATGTATTAGTAGTTAAAAAATTACTGGCACGTCGTCCCGTCATGTTCAATGGAGATGAGCTGGTAATTCACTAATTATTTGTGGATTGGGTAATCATACAATTAAATTAACAATTCAGAACACAAAATAGTTAAAGTTCTGGTCTAGTTGGAAGAAAAACGTAGAAAAGTAGAGCTGTCACGTGATTCAAGACAGCAACCAAATATTCGCGTCGTTGTATTCGAATTCGAGCCTGCCGGACGACAAAATCTTTGTGGAGGTAAAATGAGACAAAATAGTATAATTGAACAAGTCCACCTTTTGTGACGATTTTGATGCAAGAATGAATCGTGCCGTGGCCAGAATTTCCGAAGGACTCGGAGCCATGAAAATTTCCACAATTAGATTACACAAATTAATGTATGTAATTTTCTGCAAAAAATATTTTCTCGACAAAATGACTACAAATTTTTTACACGGGCAAAAATGTTTGTAAATGTCTAGCTTTAACCGGCCCGATGCAAGTGACGACGTGAAGAAACAAATTGACGAGTTGGAAATGGACATAGCTGACCTGGAGGAAAGAATCGGTAACATAAATCCGACCAGTGACCTGGACCAAGTTCGTGCAAACATGGCCATCATGCAGAGACAAATTGCTGTCTTAAACACTGCCCTGGACCATGCAGCAAGACAGGGTAACGCTATATTATTGGTCCTTTCTATTTCTATTACTTTTTTACTATGTGAATGAAACTAATAGAATTTTTTAAATTTCTCATAAACTTTGGATTTCTTCTGATTTCAATAGATGTGCCAATATTTCTTAGATTTTACAATTGTCGTTAGTGTTGAATTTTGACGAACTTTAATACTACATATCTTAAATATTTGCTAAAGTATTAAAAAAATATAGCACGAGTTACTTATTAAGATAGATATATACAATGAAATAGTGTTTTTTTCGGCTTCCAACGATTTTCGAGTTTGATGGCTTAAAATTTGCGTAATATTTAGTAGATCAAAAATCCGTAATAAAATTGGGGTGGCCCTCCAGCAGTTTTCGAGATCTGAGCCAATATGTGCGAATTTTATGCTAATTTTGAGGTTTGCCTCGAACTCGTCAAAATAGGGTCGAAAATGACTGGAAAAAATTCATAAATTTATTTTGGACTAGAATTTGGCCGCTGCCTTGATTTCTGACCCCAATTTTTCAATTGGTTGAAAATTGCAAAAAGTTTCCGTATATGACCTCGTACCAACGATCATGAGGTCAAAAATATTAACGTCCTTGAAATCGCAGTCTAATTTCTTTTAAAATGATTCCCCATATGACAAATTATGAATCTTTTGACCTTTGACCTCGTCCTCTAGGTCATAAGGTCAAAAATATTAACATTCTTGAAATCGCAGTAAAATTTCCTTCAAAATGATACCCCATATGACAGTTATGTATTTTTTGACCTTTGACCTTGTCCTTAAGGTCACAAGGTCAAAAATTTTAACACCATTGAATTCGTGGTGAAATTTCCTTTAAAATGACACCCCATATGAAAATTAAAGTTAAATTTAATTTGGACCACACCCCCTGGCGCTGTGGGGTGTGGTCCGATTGACCCCATTTTCGAACTCGACCGAGAACTAAAAATTAGAAGCACAATGGCGAAAACCGCTTTTGATTATCTCGAGGCATTCTAAAGATATCCTGCTTACGGACGGACAACACGATCACAATAAGTAGCTGACGCTACTTAATAAAGCGTCGCAAACGCGCATACGGAAGTAGCTTCAGTCTCACTTCATCCCAACCACTCCTACGACAGTGCGGGAAAACTTAATTTCACTGCATTTCAACTATATATTCACTTTTTGGAAAAATCTCATTTTTCCCCAAGCACACCCCCTGGCGCCCAGGGGGTGTGGCACAACGTGGGAACACATAATTTCACTCTATTTCATCCATAGATTCCATTGCACGAAAAATCTCATTTTGCCCCGACCACACCCTCTGGCGCCCAGGGGGTGTGGTCCGATTGGCCCCAAAAGTTGATAGGATCCTCCCCCTGGGGTCTTATGTATGATGGCGAAAACCGATTTCAATTATCTTTATCCGTTCTCCCGTTATCCTGCTGACAGGCAGACAGACAGACAAAGTGTTCACATAAAGTAGCTGAAGCTACTAGAGGTGAGTCGGGCTTGGGCTTTAATCGGGCTAGCCCGAGCCCGCCCAGGCCCTACGGGCTTTGGGCGGGCCGGGCTTTTGAGTTGAGCCCATGAGTCGGGTCGGGCCTGGGCGGGCTTTTCTTCAGTCGGGCTCGGGCTTTACTCAAAAGCCCGACTAATATTTTTCGTGGAGTTAGGAGTAATATGAGAGTCAAAAGTTTGGCCAAAAGCGCACCATTTGTATTTTATACTTGCAATTCACAATGCATTATTGTATTCTCATAGTATTTTCATTAAAAAGTAATTCCAATATCAAAAATTTTCAAAATGGAAATGATTGTTGTTATTGGTGTGAAAAAATTACTAGCAGGGTTGCACATCTAAAGTGTGAAAGGACGGAGAATTCAAAATAAGCTTACTGTGCAAGAGGATACATATTCAAAGAAGGTCAGGCTATTGGATCAAGCGAGGTCAGCATATCCTGAAATTTTGGTGTGGCGCCACACAATTTCCACTGATGCAGAAAATTACTCCAATGATATTATCAATCCCCGCATCACAAGCTAGTGATGAGAGAGTGTTTTAAAGCACCGGTTTAACGTTGACCACCAGTCGCACTGAACTTAGGATTAGCGGCAGTAGTTTATCCAACCTGACATTCGTTCATAAAAACTACGTTTTTTGTTTACTAAACATCATTGACACTAACAGTTTTGGGTTTATTTATTTTTGTACCTTGTGAAAATAATTTATTTTTTACTAAACCTTTGAAATGTGTTTGTTAAATAATTTGAACTTCTTTATTTATCAATTCGTGTTTCGTCATGCGTAACTTAGAACGCTCTACAAATCTTATTTTTAATTGTATAAATAATTTGTCACGCCATAACAAAAAAGCCCGATTAAGCCCTATGGGCCCGGGCTCGGGCCTGGGCGGGCTTTCTCAAGGCCAAGCCCTATAGGGCTTGGGCGGGCTCGGGCTTTAGAAAATGTGGACTTGGGCGGGCCCGGGCTTTTGAGTTGGGGTTTGAATAGGGCTTGGGCGGGTCGGGCTTTTGAATAGGGTTTTTGAGTCGGGCTTGGGCGGGCCGGGCTTTGAAAATCTTAGGCCCGACTCACCTCTAGAAGCTACTTAATAAACATTTTCTTAGGTTTTATCTTGTGTAGAGGATTAGCAAACTTAGCGGTACGAATACTTAAGTTTATTTAGTTAATTATGAAATTTATTACTGGTCAAAAAAATAAATTAATCATTTGCATAGTAAATATATTTTCATTGAAATTAATCTTTTAACTATTTTATGAAACTTTGTAAAATTATGCTACAGAATGCAAGGAAAGTTACAAATGACTGCGTGAATTGCCTCATTTGCATTATTTGAAAAGTTGATATAAATATCTATTTACGTACATAAATGCCATTGGCACGGGGTTCTCTAATAATTCAAAGAACAACTATCTAAAGGTCAAGGACATGGACGAGGGTCAAAGTTCAAGGAGTTTCATATTACTGAAAAGTATTCAAATTTTGCATCAAGAAATAAAAATCATAAATTATTCTAAGCAAAATCTTCTCTCTTGCAATTTTTTCCATGCAAAAATTCTCACCAAATCAAACTCATTCATTTATTTATAATGGAAATTTTAAATCACACAGCTGTAAATCATCGACATAATATTGATAACCACCTGTTCCTTCGAAGTGGTCAAGATAAGTGATTGTATCATCATGACATTTTATCATGCAATTTCTATACACCACATTCATTCATATTATAAGTCTGTTTATGATTATTTGGCATTGTCCATTGTGTTGGGTATAAATAAGTGTAAATATTATCTTTAAGTGGCACTGTCATATAGACTGGTCTCATATATGCAGTGGCCCCGGAAGCCGTTCTGGGGACATGTGGGGACGTTAACATTGTAGGATAATAGGGGAGGGCCGGGTTTATATAAGATGGGGAGATGATGCGGACATCCAACACCTGTGGGGACATTGTCCATCTGTCAACACACTTCCGCGGCCACTGAATACATCGACAAATTGATAACTGTGGCCGCGGAAGCCGTGGGGACATCGGGCGACATTATCATTGTAGGATAGGAGAGGGCCGGGTTTGTATAAGATGGAGAGACGATGCCGACATCGAACAACCGTGGGGACATTGTCCACACCCTTCCGCGGCCACTGGACATACTTGACGAGGTCCAACTCACTTTTGCATGTGCCAACAAACCACTTTTTAGTCGAGATGACATTTCACCACCACCACCACAGCTGCTGAGACAGAACAACTTCATGCATATTGTTCTCTGCAGTGCTTGTAGAACATTCGGATTGGAATAATATTGTTGTCCCGGCTGGAAATTTTGATTTCAAAAGAAAATTAAAATGCTAGCCAAGGACAGAAATCTGATTGGGTTTGGGGAAGAAATCACAGACTACAAGTTTAACGGGGTAAGAAAACTAGACTCACATTTTCATACCAATTTTTTCATACGGCGTACGTTTATTGACGAATTTTAGACTTTTTATCCATTTGATGTCAATTTTTATAAGCGCTTTTCGCAAGATCACAAAAGTTTCCAATTGTTTTTCAATAGTTCTATGATTTCTTAAATACCTAGATTTTGTGGATATTCATTATTTCCAAAAATATGTAACTATTTTTTTTAATGCATACATTTCATTACGATTTTACGTACACAGAAAAAAATATTTAAAGTAGGTAAAAATTACGGCGTATAAGTCCAATATTGAACTAAAATTTGTGACAAAAAAATGCCATCAATATATTTTTTTAGATTTTTCATGAAATAATTTTCATAGACTTTTCATATTCATTAACATGCACATTTCTTATGAATTTTTATGCATGCATATTTAGTGTATATGCAGATTAAATGCAAAATTCAATAAATACATATCTGTGAAGTCCCATTTTAAATACATTTTTTGTCCAAAAATTTGCAGATTTTGGACTGGTTGGTCAAAGTGAATGATCCGAGAGAGATTTGGAAGGCACAGCCGACCTATCTCATTTCCGAATGGACCTTCATCACCATCGGCCTCCTGACCTTCATCCACTGTAAGGACAAACTAACACCGGCATAAATATTTACATATTTACCAGTGTCTGTTTACCACTACCAATCAATTAGGCAATTCACGCTGGCCTTGGTAACCTTGCAAAATCCATAAATTCTGTAAACTTGTACAAATTTTACACATATTTCGAAGGAAAATTGGGGTACAAATTTTTGTAAAGTTGCAAATCTGATCTTTATTTTGTAAAATTATTCTACAAAACGCAAGGATTTACAAAGTTACCAGTGACCGTGTGAATTGCCTTGACATGATTTTTATTATTAAACTAATAACGATCTATTAATTAATTATTTGCTAATTATTAAAATACACAGCTCAACGGGTGGGCGGTAGGTTTCGATGGCTCTGGTTGACCACGGTCCTTCATGGGTTGATCGTAGAAAATGTGACCTTTTGGACCCCCGTTATCAACAACTTTTGGCACTCCCAAACCACAATCGTCCTCCTGGGGAGGCGTCTCCCCCTCCACATCATTTGCTTGTGTAAGTCAAATAAAAAAAATTCAAAATTCTCACGACTATATACATACATATTTCGCATAATGCCTCGTTTAGCAAAACTAATTTACGAAATATTCTTGCTAAACGCAAGTTATGTTCAATTAACGTAGGAATCGATCACACATCGTCAAAATCAGCACATTTTAAATCATTTAATCCCTCTGGGAACTTATTCTAAAATTCTGAACGACAAATTTGTCCTAAGTGAGTTGATGGATGGAATTGTGGTGAGTTTTTTTGAGCCAGTTTCGACGAGTTGCAATTTTTCTGAAGGCTTCTTAAACTTGAGATTAAAAGTGTCAAAATCTGGAGTGTATATTTCTAAAAATTGGCACCTCCCTGCTGTACAAATTTATCGTCCAGAATTTTAAAATAAATTCCCACAGCCCAGAAATGCTTAAAAATGTCCTTCTTTTAACGATAAGTCCCACACTTAACAAACTCCTCATCCCCCCTTTTTCCCTTTCCAGACCCCACATTCATCTACACCGCGTCCGTCTGCGTTTCCCGGCTACGCCTCGGCACACTCGCCAACGCCCTCGCCGTGGGCTTATCCGTCGTCCTGATTGACATCCCGTATGACATCATGGCCGTCAAGTTCGTCCACTGGACGTGGCACGATACCGACCCCAACATTTACGACCGGCATTACTGGGTCCCTTGGACGTCGTACTATTTCCACGCCACCTTCGCGGCCGCGGTCACCTACGCGTTCCACTTTTGGAGGCGGACCTTGTGTCAGAATGACCCCGAAAATCCGTGGGTTTCGGATAAGCGGGTATCCCGGGAATTGCTGGCGTCCGTGTTGACCGCGTTGTGCGGCATGCCGGGGGGAGTCATCCAATTTTTGCCGTTGTACCACCCACTCCACGACTTTTTTGGGATCCACACGGAAAATTGTGTGATTACGCTGTTCGTCATTTTCTTCTTGATTGCGTGGAAGAACGATAGGAAGCCGGTCGTGGGATCGAGACCGATGGGTAGGTGGACTTCACACTTAGGGGACGTTCGTAAACTTCATAATGCAAAGAGGGGTGGGTGGTAAGGTCAGGGCCCAATGATACTGTGCCTATGTACGTGACACATGTTAAAGGGGGTGGTATTTGGATGTCCATAAAATCAAAAATTTGCGTTATGAAGTTTACGAACGTCCCCTAAATATGTTTGTAAACTTGGTAAAAGGTGTTTCCTTTCTTGCACTACAAAACAAGAAATGCGAGGTGCAAGAAACTACAAGAAGTACGCCTCATCTAGCCACTCGCCGTATGAATCGGCGGGGCGTAATTTCTCCCTCCTTGCATTTCTCCCAGGTCAAAATATTCACCTAATGGTTACTCGTTCGTAAATTTCTATAAACTTTTCCACATGATTAAAAACAAATAAGGGGAAATCAGGTTACAAAATTTACCGGGTTACAAATACTGAGGCAATTCACGCAGTATTTCTTAACTCATAAAATCCGTGCGTTTTGTATCAGAATTTTACAAAATAAGGAGACGTCTTTGATATGAGTACTTAAGTTTACAAAAAATTTGTGAGCTAATGTTCCTCAGAAAGTTTACAGAAATTTAACGAGTTTACAATGCAAATGAGTCGACTCCTATGAAATAATATTACAAACCTTTCCGTCACGTGTATATAGGAAAATCTGGTTGGAAAATCAACGAGCTCGTCCTCGCCTTGATCCTGCACTACAGCGTGTACCTCGGAATGGCCCTTTACGGAGACCCTCAACACGAAGTGTCAGTCGGACTCCATGAAAAAATTGGACCCTGCAACGAAATGATGGAACTGAAAACAATGTTCACCTTAATCACGGGCGAGGTGAGGATACATAAATTTTGAACTTTTAGTAATTTCAGTGAGAACACTACTTATTTTGCAAACATTTTCAACTCGCGACGTATCTAACCATTGCAAAATATGTAGCTTTTGTATGCAAAATTTTCGAAATGGCATGCAATTAACGCGTCTCATAAATATCGATGAAACGTCTCATAAAAACTATTTGAAATGTCTACATGAAAATGTCTCCTAATATTATTTTGCTGGTCTCATATAAATTTAGAACTAACTCTTAAAAAGTTTTATAAAAAACAGCTTTTATTTCATATTTTTATCAGATTTTCAATATTAACAAGGCCTTGCTTGATTTTTTGGGGTGACCAGGACCACGTCGACGACCTAAGGGAATATCTTCAGCCTTTGTGAGATTTATCCGAGTCAAGGTTCTTGCAGAAATGAAACCAGCAAAAAACACGGATGAAATTCGGTCCAAAAACTGTCCCAAATGCGTTAGTGATTGATTCAGCTGCATCTGCTTTTAGAATTCTGGGAGAATAATTGCGTATGGCTTGTGGATACAAATACTCCAAACCACTCAAAATTTTTTTCGAAGTCAAACTCGGAATTAATTACGTCCACCGTCCATGCTCCGTATTTGTTAGCCTCTGCTTGTTGCCCTCCTAATGATATTATTTTCTGCCCTTCCATTTTGAGCATTGATGCCAAATAGCTTACAATTTGAGAATTTGTTTTACAATTAAATCCTGCCGTTGTCCCGTAGGGATTCAGAAGGACCTTTTGAATCCCTATGAGTTGTCAGATTCAACCCGAAGTACTTGGGACGCCATTTTAATTTAAAAATTTAAAAATGCGAGGAAAACTAGTAATATTTCGGAACCAACCATGAGTATTTTGTGTGTACCGTGTGATTGGCCTGCAATCAGGCATCGTATATGGCACTTCAAGAGAAGGAAAAAGATAAGAAATGGATTAGAAAGAATTATCCAATTATGAGACAAATGTAAATACTAATGAGACATTTTTTTTGTATTAAGAGACGTTTTCCATGTAGGCAGCTCGAATATTATTTATGAGACAGTTTACCTATATTTAAGAGACGCTAAAATTTAATGCCTTTCGAAATTTGCAACATTTCGTTCAAAACTTTTGCTGGAATGATTTACAATTAGATAGTTTTGCAAACATTATGAACTCGTGACATAACATATGTAACCCTTGCAAATTGAGCATTTCAAAATTCTTTTTTATGCCAAATTTGCGAAATTTCCAAATTTAGTTTTCGGAAAACGATGTGATTTTTGTGCACAAATTTACTCTAAAAATTGAATTATTTAACATTTTTATTTTACAAATTAGATCTTAATGTCCTTATCTCATTTAGACTGCCGAACGTCGCAAATTCTTATGTCCAACGGACTATGACGAACAATATTTTGACTTCCGGTGTCTCTCCGGGGACAACACACCTCCAAAAATGGGGTCGGAATGGTACACAATTTGTGGCACGCCGTTCCCCAATCGGGCAGAATATATTCAAGTAAGATTTTGATTTCATTTTTTAATCAAAAAGTCGATTTTCAACCTAAAGTATTTTTTACATTTTATTTTATTCTACGATTTTTTAAATTTTAGGTTCTTGCGACAATTTGTTTCTTGGCCTTCATGTTGTTCAAAGCGATGTTGTTCAATTCCGGTGATGAATGGACGACTTCACCCAGTGTTGGAAAACCAAAGAAGAAAAACTGATTATAAATATGTGTATGTAACTTACAATGCGATGACGCCAGCGGTCTCGCCCCGATTTTGACGAAACGACGATAATTATGTAGCATTAGATAAATAATTAGACACGTGTTTCAGGATTTTTCATAATGCTCAGGTTATACGAAATTATGACGAAATCCGTGAGCGAGAATTCCCATTTTCACCGTGACATTTTATTGGCAAGGGAGAAAAATAAAGATTCTCCATTATGGAGTCCATCATAATTTCGTTTAAGCTTAAAATGCCTTAAAGTTCTGAAAATTTTGAAAATTTTTGAAAATTTCTGAAAATTTTCAAAATTTTCAAAAATGCAACAAACCAAAATCGTAGAAAATCACTTCGTGCCCACAAATTTTAAGTTTAAACGAAATTATGATGGACTCCGTAATGGAGAATCTGTATTTTTCTCCCTTGCCAATAAAATGTCACGGTGAAAATGGGAATTCTCGCTCACGGATTTCGTCATAATTTCGTATAACCTGAGCATTATGAAAAATCCTGAAAAACGTGTCTAATTATTTATCTAATGCTACATAATTATCGTCGTTTCGTCAAAATCGGAGCGAGACCGCTGGCGTCATCGCATTGTTAGTCTGTTATTACATATGCGTTTCAAGAAATTAAAAACTCGAAAATAATAAAAGCACGTGACAGTTGATTTTTGTTTTTGAAAAACGACATGAATACTCTCATCCAAATTTTTCCAAGCTTCCAAGAAATATACATTTGTAGAAAAATAAAAAGAAACATTTCAAAATTGAAGCCATATCATTCAAAATACATTTGCAGAAATGCAATAATTTCTACAAATCAGTTCTGCAAAAGATCCACATTATGAGCTTATATGAGAAGTAATTGTACAATGAGTAGGCAATTCATGCAGACCTTGGTAACCTTGTAAAATCCGTAACTTTTGCAAAATTTCACTCAGATTTCGCAGGAAAATTAGCTACCAAATTTTTGTAAACTTGCTCCGATCAAATCAAGGGAGTCTCCTAATCTTGTTTAAAAGTTTCTAAAATCATGATATAAAAGGCACGGATTTTACAAAGTTACCAAGGACTGCGTGAATTGCGTTTTCGGAATATGCATGGGCAAATCTCACACGGATTTTTATCCATGCGAGGATTCCATTCCATGCAGTGCAGGTGAATTGTGCAGCTTTTGCAGGAGTCGAGTGCCGAGTGGAGGCAAGATGAGATTGAAATGGTCTTGTGCTATGCATTGCATGAATCACTCGCATGTTTGTAACCTGTGTAATAAAACTACACATTATTGGTATTGATTTGGTAATAAATTCCCATTGAATTGGCAATAGTTTATTTATGAGTGGTAAACTTTTCAACATTACTAAACGGTGGTAATGCCCGTAATTACCCGTGCCAGTATGTCATATATGTACCCCGGTCAGTAATGATTTAATACCAGGTTTCTATGAGTGTATGAAAAATTATGTTTGCAAATAAACTCGTACAAAATAAAGTAACGTTTCAAAAAGGTGTCCAATTTTGAAATATATTTGCAAACTTAACGAATTACACATATTTAAGGGTATTTAGTTAATTATTAGATTTATTAAAAGCTTAAATTAATCATTTTCATAGTAAATATATTTTCCTGGTAATAATAATATTTTTTTCTGTTAAAAAATACTGGAATTATTTTTGATAAAATTTTGATACAAAATTTCCAGCTGGTCTGGTGAATCAAAAGTAAAATCGGAATTTTGCTGAATGAAATTTTGCAATTGTTGCAGTGTTATATTTTGCTGTTGCCATGGAAATAGGCTTCGTTCGGAAGGAAGAAAAATTTCTTCAGAATCGATATATTCCCCGGATTCTAATTCGGGGTCTAATTCTGCAAGTTCAGCAGAGGTTAGTTCAAGGGGTGCGGTTTCTATGGAAACGGTTTCCAAATTTTCTTGATTTTTATTCAAATCAGGAAACTCTGGGAGTACATTTTGCCCATTATTTTCCAAAGTTTCCAGCGTATTCTCAGCAGAAGGTGCGGTTTCTATGGTTTCCAAATTTTCTTGATCGTTATTCAACCCAGGAAAATTTGGGGGTCCACCTTGCTCGTTATTTTCTAAAATTTCCACAATATTTTCAGCAGGGATTTCAAGAGGTATGGTTTCTATGGGAACGGTTTCTACAATTTCTAAATTTTCTTGATCTTTATCCAACTCAGAAAAATTTGGGAGCGTGTTTGGTCCATTATTTTCCAAAGTTTCCTGATTTTTATCCAAATCAGGAAGGTTAGGGAGCCCACTTTGTTCATTATTTTCGAAAGTTTCCAAGATTTCGACGGAATTTTCAGCAGGGATTTCAAGGGGTGTAGTTTCTATGGGAATATTTTCCAAATTTTCTTCGGGAACATTAGGGGGTGCAGTTTCCCCATTATTTTGTAAAGTTTCCACTGCCGGTTCAGTTGCTAAGGTCACGGCCTCGGTTACTATAGCAACCACGGTCGTACTTTTTTGCGGGGTACTAATTTCTGGGGGTGAAGTTGGTGGTTGTGTTGGCGCCGTGGTCGTCGTCTCGGTAATTATTACCGGGGCTGGTCGCACCGTGGTCGTGGTTCTTCTCGGTCGCAGTATATTCAATGGATTTAAATTGAGCAAATTCGAAATAAATTGTTGTTGTTGAGCTTCGAAAAATCCTGCGAGTCCGTTCACCACGGAAAATATGGGGTTCTGAAATTTCATTTTTCCATTATTATTTTTATTTACATTATTAAAAATCTAGTATAGTCAGGCAGGTAATAATTTCTCGGTATTAAAGTTGTTATTAAAGTTGTTTCTTGGTATTAAAATTATACCGGCTTGGTAAAAAAATTTGTTAATGATCTGGTAAAACTTTAATATCGAGCTATGTATTACTACACGGTATTACTTATCAATACCACTTTGGTAAAATTCGTATATGAATACCACTTGGTATTATTTTAATACTGGATTTCTAAAGAAATTAAGTCACACATAGGTTATGATTTCTCGGTATTAAAATTGCTACCGCTTGGTATTAAAATTATACCGGATTTGTCACCGATATGGTAAAATTTTATTTCCGAGCTATTACTACACGGTATTACTTATCAATACCACTTTGGTAAAATTCGCATGAATACCGCTTGGTATTATTTTAATACTGGATTTCTAAGAGTGTACTTAATTTTTTAAAATAAAATTTCCATACCTGTCCCGTTACCATGACGACGCTTCCCAACAAGAGGACAAATATGACTCGTGTTTCCATGATTTTCTGCTAAATTACTGCTTTCTTTCCATCTCATAAAAACGATTTGTATTTATATGTGAAATTCAACGAACAGGAAATAATCGTCAAGTTCGTCGTATTTAAATTCGCGACAATTGTGTTTCATTCATATGAAGGACGGAGTTATGGCAGATTTGCATAAATATACAAATATTCTATTATCACAATTTTCATTTATTCTAGAATTGTTCTTTCTATTCCCATTTTTATGCGCATTTTTTAGTTCCTGAATATTTTTTACGGAAAAATGCTATTAAATTAGCCGTTGCTATTAAATTATTTTAAAAAATCGTTATATTGAGGCGATTCACGCAGTCATTGAAAGTGTCTCAGGAGGACAACCCTTCACCGACAGAATCACCGATCTTGATGCCCTTTGGATATGTTATGGTCCTAGGTGAGTCTAGCAAAAGTGAAGAAGGATTTCATTCCATGGCCCCATTTGCGTCCGCCACACCCACTCAAAGGTGCGAAAAACACGAAAAATACCCTGTTTTCGTTCATTCAAAAAATCACCAAAAATCCAATTTTGATCGGATTTTCATAATTTAAGCGTTTTTGTGATCTTAGATAGTTGCTTTATCATATCCAATTGCAAACTCAATTTTTTTGAAATTTTGATTTTTTCGAAGGCGTATCCCTGGTCAGGAAATTTTCGAAAATGCTCAAAAAATTAAAAAAAAAATTAAAGACGTAAAAAAGTAAAAAAAAATGCTAAAAATTCATGTATTTGGTTTGGATCGGAACATCTCCAATTTAGCATCCCTGTACGATCAATCACAATTCGCTCAAAATTTCCAAAATTTTCACCTCGATGGTTACATGCATGTCAAAATACGAACTTGATTAATTAATCAATTAATTAATTAGTTAGTTTATAAAAATGGAGAAAGGGTATAGTTTGTGTAGTAATTAATTCCGTCACGTGTGAGTTGATTAAAATAAATTTTTTTATTAATACAGGAAAACAATGATATTTGCATAGAATAATAATTTCGAACTAAATATATCAAAATTTTGTACGCATCCAAACTTTAATTTTTTGTCACGAATTTCTAAATATTTCCCTAATTTTACACCTCGATCTGAATCTCCACGCTGCTCCCGGCATACGGACCGGTCGGCAGTGTGACTTCCTTTTCGACTAAAACCCCACCAATCGCCGCGGCCACGTGTACATCTCCCACCATTGTTTGAGACGGGTCAGCCACCCCCAAAGTCCACTGGGGGTTGGTGTCCCCTCGTCGCTCCAGGATAAGAAGGATGGGGGCTTGGCTGACGGAAATCCAGGGGACGACTTCCACTCCGGTCGAGTAGTTGGTCGGGGACAAGAATGCGACGGAGATGACGACCACGTCCAGCGACGAGTATGTCGCACCCGTTACATTTTCCGAGCGTGGCAGCAATATTACCCCACCAAGGGGGGACGACTATGTATAATACAAACATACCGTTAATTAATTAGCAATTAATTCCTGATTTAATCGATGTATTAATTTTTACGAATCAATGAGTTATGGTAAAAATCTGCACATTTTTAACCATTTCTCCCCTCTGGGAATCTATGTATTTTAAAATTCTGGACGACAAATTTGTCCTCAGTGAGTTGATTGAGGGAATGGCGTCGAGTTTTTTGAGCCAGTTTCGAACAGTTCCAATTTTTCTGAGGGCTTCTTAAACTTTAAATCTCAAAATTTGGATTTGACCATTGTTGCACTCGGAATTCGTCGTCCGGGAAGAGTACATTTTCAACGTGGTGGTGTAACCAGGGCCGCGATTTACCTGGTGAATTGTGTGGGGAAAATTAGCATATCCTCTGTCCAAATTTGGAAAGGCATAAAAATAATTACGCCTTGTAGTCAGGAGAAATAAATTGAACGTTTCAGGATTAATCAGCTCACTTTCCGTGACACGGTTGGTAACATGCAGCAACTTTCATCTCTATTCCCCGAATAAGCATAAATTTTGTATATGTTCATGCAGTGTTATATTTTGTTCATAAATAAACTTCTTGCTGTGACGTAGAGTCACAGCCGAGACCGTGGCCAAGGGGCTGGCTTCTGATATAAAGGAAACTGGGAACAGACTGATTTTTTCCATGACAAATAAAATGCAACAATTATGCATATCTCCATTCCAAACACAGGATTGGCAAGATGAAAATCGTGCAAAAGATCACACCCTCTCTCAAAATCTCTTCAAGATACTACCATTCCGCTCCATTGTTGTTGCTACTCGTCGGGAAGAATTTTCCTGGAAATTGGAACACAGTTTAAGTTCACACCATTCTACATCTTCAACAATCATGGCACAATCACGCAGTCCAGCCGACGACGTAAGTTTAGGTTTTCTTTTAAATTTACTAATTCCTTACGAAATTTATTAATTCCTTACGAAATTACCGAAATGACTTTTTGTTTTTTTACACAACGCAGATGGTGGAAGAGGAGGAGGAGCACGAGTTTTTTCGGACGGTCCAGACCAGTGACTTAAAAACTCACCCGGACGTTCAAAGCTTTGCCCTCATGGAGGGCCGTGCTTTCGGCATCATTTGCAAATGGAAATTCTATTTCATCCCAGGCAGGGTTAGGTACCCTGTTCTGGGGGTGAAATTGGTCGAGTCTAATGGACCTGAAGAAATTTTAGCCAAAGTGTGGATCTTCTTGACTGGGAATGGGGGTTGTTTAAATCAGTCAGGAACGTGTGGTAAGACGGGAATCATTCATTTTTATCAGCGTTTCGGATAAAGCATACCTTTTCAAATCGATATTTTATACATGTATAAACTACGTTTTTTTCACAGATCTTAAATACCGGAAGATTACGAAGGGTAACAGTTTGGAATGCCCCTTCTACGGGACTGGCCAAGGATATCCAAGCGCATTTGGATCCATTGGACAATAATAAAATTTTCTAGTGTGTAAAAAAGTATTTTTAAACACTAACTACTATTTTTCTAAAAACTATTTTTTCGAATTAAAGTTTGTAGTTTTTTAAACGCTACAAAATTTTATTATTTTATGAAGTATTGTAAATTAAGCCAGAATCAGGTGCCTAAAGCCAAAATTATGAATTTTGCCCGGCATGGGCCCAATTTCATTGTCCCGGCACTGCATTCCTGGCTGCGTTTCGCAACGTAACTAGAGTGCACCATTTACCCAAGATATTCTTGTAGCTATTTTGATTAAGAAGTGATATATACATACATATCTTAATATATATATATAATTATAATATATTATATTATATCTATGTGATGTTATATTATATATATAATCATAATATATAATTATAATATTATATAATGATATTATTATATTGTATTATTATATAATATATATATATATATATATATATATATATACTTTAATACGTTTTTCAAATATTTTAAAAATTTTTATTTTTAAAATAAATATGATTACCACACACAAACATTGTCGTTCCCGTCCACGGGAAAGGTGACACTTCCATGGTAAAAGTAGAAAACCCCTAGCTTCGAATATGCCATACCTCGTGTCCTTGATTTGAATCACGCTACAAAAGTTAGTCGTAAATTAATTAACTTAAACGAGCAAGTATGTATTTTGAAAATTACAAGATCCTTTCGTTTCACTCCAGTCGCCGCTAAACATTTGTTTCGAAATATTCACTTCTACGCATCAGTATCCATCTATGCGCAGAAATGATTTTGCCTTCCAAGGAAAATGTAACGTCTATATCTGCTTGTAAAGTACGGTGGTAAAAATCGTTACTAATTTTCAAGCGCAACTTGAGACTTTAATTAAAAGTAACCCTGCTCTTCCATAAATCATCGCCAAACCATTCCTTATAATATTATAATTATATTATAAAAATAAGTTAATTATAATTATATATTATTATAATGTTATTATAGTTATATTATTATTAATTAATAATTAATATTATATAAAAATATTTATTAAGAACTTATAAAATTCCACTTGCAAAATTTAGAAAACGGTAAATCACACCTAAATTTTGGATCGTATATTTATACGTAGTTATCAATGTTCTAACATTCCTTTCCTCGGTCTGTGAGAACGAAATTTGCACCAAAACTCCTCCCCACTGAGATTACCTTCCAAAAATCCTTATCAATTTCAAAACTCCATTCTTCCTTGTGCATCAACTTTGGCGCCAGAATGGCAATGCCACCAATTGTACCCCAGTGATAGACATCTCCCCCACCGTTAAAGCGACGCGCCCCTTTCCCACCCCTTACCTGTCGTACTGTCGTTTTCCTGCGAGGTTAATTGATCCAATAACAAATTCTATAAGAACCAAAAAAATATAGACAACTATTTTTTATCTGTATCTTCCTCAAAAAACTACCTTTCACCCGAACCCCATACAATTCAGGAATTTTGGTAATTTTTGCATCTCCAAAACCTCCATGGATGAAGTGGTAAGTTTCGTCCATATTAGTAACGACGAATCCTTCCTTGTCGTGAACATGGAGCAACTTCACCGTCTTCAAAATCTTCTCTCCTTCCGCTCCCACGTTGCGAAACACGATGCAAAGCTTCAATTGTCTGCAGCAAGAATGACGGCATGCGATAAGGTGGAGGACTCCATTGCAAAAACTGTTGATAAGTAATCAATTAAATGGGAGTAGTTGAGATTAAATCATCAACAAAAAATTAATAGCTGATGATTTATTTATTTACCTATTTTAGCTACCTACTCTGACCACACCCCCTTGGGAGTAATTTGTGGGGGTGGCGTGGTAGATTTAGCGCGCTGCGCGGTAGCTTACTGCGGGGTGCGGGATGGCGTGACGGACTAGCGGGGTGTAGGATAGCTTGATGCGGGATAGCTGTATTCACATGTTAGTTAAATCTTATGTAAATATTTTCGTAATCTTGAGGTTAACGAATTACAACGGAATGACAACCTCTCGTACCCAAAAATTCTCTGCATTTCATTTCATATTCATCAAGTCATCATCATATATTTACATACTGAATCCGAGAGGACACTGCACCTGGTGAGTTTAAATTAAGTAATTGTAGCTTGTTGACCAGCCGTATTTACATATTATAAATGAACTTTGAGGTCGACCTGTCCATTTTAATACACAATTTTGCTTCACGTTATCACTGTTTATGAGATGACATTTAGAGGAAGAGTTTTGCTAAATTGTTCTCAGGAGTATAAAAATTCCAGAATTTTCAAAGAAATAAAAATTGCAAATTTCTGCTAATGTTTCTTCTAAAATTTCCGAGCATTTATTTTATATGAACTTATGAAGGATTACTTATTTAGCTGTTTAAAAATTTGGAAAAATCATAAGAATACTCCTGATCAAATAAGTAAAGCATAAAATGTTCAAAGTTTCCTAAAATCTTGTTCACTTTGGTGGGATTTAAATTTACAAGAAGTTAAATGAACTGCAAGAAATTTAAGAAATGCAATGCGTACATACATAATCTGCATAATCAATGTAAACGTTTTGTTCATTTATTTACTTGTCAAGGCAGTGGCGGCCGGGTGGAAGTTGGGGGGTGGGGGTGATTATTGTGAGAAACGAGGAGAAGGAGGAGGAGGGTCTTATCACCGAAGATGGAATTTTTCAGAATTTCTGGGGGGCAAATGCCCCCCTGTCCCCTCGATTCTGCCGCCCCTGTCTCCTGGCTGCCTGGCGAGGGAAGAAAGAAGTAGAATGCGACGTAGTTTCTAGTTTCTTCCTCAATCGCGTCGAACGAGTTGGAGCGTAAACGTCGCATTTTGTTCTTCTCTCATCTAAACGTTCTCCAGAAACAATTGGTCGAATTAATTGCAAATTTACGAAATTTGCCCCTTGATTTTCTGGGAATAAGAAGGTAAGTCGTCTTTTAAATTTCTGAAACAGAGTTTTAAACAAATATTTACAAATTTACGAGAAATTGTATTTGATTAAAAGTGGAGACAGCCCAGATTTGCATTGCCACTTTTAAGAACCCAGCCATCATAAATAAAATTTTAATTGCAATGTTTGTTGAAGGCTGTTAAAAATATACAATTTCTTGAAAATATAAAATTCCCTTCATGAATTGCTCATCTCATTATTGTTCTCAAAATTAGGACCAGACGATAAGCTTTGTCGGTGTTCGTGCCGACAAAGCTTATCTGTCTGGTCCGTTCCTATTTTTGCATCAGCCGTTTGGTACATTTTTATAAACTTAAAAAAATGAATTCCCTAAAATTCAACATGTACCCGAACTGTATTCCAATTAATTAATTACTTATTTTCTATTTCCAGTCCACCCACAGGAAATAACTGAAATTCGCAATGAATCCTTCCGAAGGTAGCAGTCCGGAAGAACGTGTCACGGCGAGAGGTCGGTCACGTCCCCGAAACGTTCCTCAGCCCGCTGTACAACTTGGCCCCGTCGACCCGTACGCGCCTCCCCCCATGGAAATCGAGCCAGCCGGTAATGCCGCTGGGGGACCTGGATTTGACCAACTTATCTCTGAATATCGGGCCGATAGTAGTAATGGGAGTGGAAATGGAAGTGAAGGGGGGCGTGAGGGCTCGTCCAGCCCGGAAGAGCAGGCCTTTGCGAGAGGAAGAGGTCGTGGAGGTCGCTCAAGAGACGAACCCAGGGTCGCACGGCAGCACGAATCGCGTACGTTATTTTACTTACGTTATCCACTTACTTGTTTAATTACTTAGCGTAGCACTCATCCTCAAAATTGTTAATCATCTCTCCCCTCTGGGAAGTTATTTTAAAATTCTGGACGACAAATTTGTAGTCAGTGAGTTGATTGATGGGATGGAGCCAAGTTTTGTCGTTCGCAATTTTAAGATAAACTTCCCAGGGCCACGAAAAAATGATTAAAAATGTGTTATGACTTTGACGGTTTTTTAGCGAAAAGTCATCGAGTCCTCTTCTACGTTAACTACTTAATTATTAGAGGACGGGAATGGGAAAATCCGGCACTGTTCAACGCTTTTTCGTCAACTATTTCCAACTCCAGATGAAAAAGACTATCGAATTTCGCCTCTATCTCGTCAACTTTGACCCGGAAATCGACCACATCCCGAAACGGAAGGCACTCCTTCGAATGCGAGAGGCCGACATTGGACCGTACCTCTTCGAAGGGACACAACTCTTCACTACGCGAATCATCCCCATTGAAAATCTCCGCTTTGAAGCTTCCTTCCCCGACAAACCGGACGACGTTTGGACCGTTAACATTGATTTCATTCGCCAATGTGACCGCCGGGAGCCCGTCGTCACCCAGTTGTACAACGTCCTCCTCAAAAAGGCGCAAGAAACCCTGGCACTCACCCTGCTTGGCCGCTTCTACTTCGATTCCGAACAGAAAATCGACATTCGCCAACACCGCCTCCAACTCTGGCCGGGTTTCGTCACCTCGATCCGCCAAATGGAACGAGACGTGTATCTCAACGTGGATCCAACCTTCAAAGTTTGTCGAACCGAGACTGTCTTCGACCTTATGAAAGAAATGCGTCAAACGTCCCGAAACTTCAAGGGGGACATTGAAGCCGCCGTGATTGGAACTGTCGTGATGACCACGTACAATAAGAAAACGTACAAAATCACCGGGATCAATTGGGACATCCGGCCGACAGGGTCGTTCACCGTGTCACGTGGAGGAGTCGAGAGTCAGGTCACGTTTGTGGAATATTTTGAAAAGAAGGGGATTCGCCTTAACGCGTCGCAACCGATGTTGGTGTCCGCCCCGACGAAAAGGGATATTCGTCGAGGCGACGTCGGGGATAAGATTCTTCCCCCCGAGATTTGCTACCAGACTGGATTGAATGATGAGATGAGGTCTAATTTCCGGTTGATGAAGGATTTAGCGGGGCATTTGCATATGGCGCCGCAACAAAGGATTCAGCAAACTGTCCAGTTTGTAAGGAGGATGATTGAAAGCGAGGAGGTAAGTGGGGAAATGTCACTTGTTTTGTGATCACGTGTACAATTTGAAACAGTTTAAAACCTTGCCTTGCTTTTAAAACCGAAGTTAAGGTTACATTGGATGACGATTAGATACATTTTAAATCTCACTATACCCGTAATTCGATGTCTTTTATAACAATATTAATTCCATGAGTTTCGAGATAAACGTAACTTTTCCTAGTTTAATGTAAAGTTAATTTTTGGTAGTACAAAATAGTCGATTTAAAAGAAATTTGTAATATATTTCCCATTTTTTTACAAGAAATGCCCTCAAAAATGAATTCGCTAGTTTTTCCGAACTGACTGTTTTGTTCTAAAAACATAACTTTGCAAAGTTATATTTATCTCCAAACTCATGAAATTGATGTCATTTGAGAAATTTGCATTTAAAGATATTGAATTACGGATGGAGTAGTGAGACTAAATATCTGTAACGGTGTTATACCACCTTTACAAGATACCTTTATTCATTGCTCAGGTCACTTCTGAACTGCTTGCGTGGGGAATGCGGATTCAAGGCGTTCCGTGCGAAATTCCAGGACGCTTGTTGGACCAAGAATCTATTCGTTTCAAGTCGGGCCAAGCTATTGCTGGTGAAGCCGCCGACTGGACGATGGCTTTTAGAAGTAGGTTCAATAATTAATTTTAATGATTAATTAACTTACTATGTCAAACTGTTCTTTTTCTATTTCTCTTGTGTACTTGCAGCGAATCAGATGTTGTTGGCTAAGCCGATGCAAAGATGGGCGATTGTGTATCCGAACAGAGATTCCGATGGGATTGATAATCTCCTGAGGACGATGGACCGTGTCGGCCGACCGCTTGGATTCCCTGTTGGCAATCCGATACAGTAATTCTTCTCTTGTTAATATTTAATCTCTGTGCTACTAGTTAATTTTCGGAAATATTCCGTTCCCGACATTTGTGTAACGATTGTTTTTATCACTTGACTACCGCGCTACATTTTTCGAAATATTACTTTGCCTACCAAATAATTAAGACATTTGTATAGCAAAATTATTTCTCTCTCAATTACACACGAGATCGTTTTCCAATGCATTACACAAATGTTTGCGAGTATATCAGGAATTTTAAAAAACATGGGAATTTATCAAGTTGTAAAATCACCGGGGAACGTAAAATTTCAAAAAAAATCCCTGCTTCCGAAATTGATGGTAGTACATACATGTGTGTAATTCGTAATATTTCCAAAAATAGGGGGATAGTCAAGTAGTAAAAAATAGTCAAACACAAACGTGTGTAATTTCGTAGGGTAAAAATTAACAATTAATTATAAAGTATAAACTGTTAACTAATTACTTTCAGGGTTGGAATCACCGCAACAAATGAGCGCGCCTACACGGAGGAGATTGAGCGGCTCGTCGAAGGAAATCAGGGCCGTCTCGATCTAATCATGATTATCCTTCCAAATCCAAACTTATCCGTGTATGCCGCCGTTAAGAAGGCGTGTTCCCTGAATTATGGGAGTAAGATTAAGTTGAAAATCCATTTTTTCCTTGGATTCATTAAATGATTTACCTTGTTTTTTTTTAAGTCCCGTCGCAGTGCTTTCTGTCCAAAAATGTGACGAGCAAGGGGCTGATGTCAATCAGTACGAAGCTGGTTATTCAGATGAACGCCAAGTTGGGTGGACAACCTTGGGGCCTAGCGAATCCTCTCAAGGTATGAATACCTGTTCAAAAAGAACTGTTTTCATTCAATCTTCTGTCATTCCGATTTATGAGTGAAGATTGTCATTCACATTCAGTCATTTTTGTTCAAATTAATTTCATTTCACTTCATCTGACTTCATTTCTTACTTCGAAATTAGTGAGAAATCCTCTCATTCACAGTCATTCATCTGAAATGACTGAATCTTTCAATCACTTTCATTCAAATCACGGGAAATTCATTTTCATTCACTATCATAATCAGTCACATGAATGAAAGTGAACATGTATGGAATAGTCAGTTTGAAAAATTGGCATTATTTGTAATACGTACCTAGGGATTGATGGTCATTGGATTTGACGTACATCACGGAGGTGGGCGAAGTTACGGCGCAATGACGGCAACCACGTCGCAGAACATGGCGTCCTATTTCTCAACGGTGCTCACCTTATCGCCCGGTCTTGAAATGGCAGGCGAAATTGGACTCGCATTGCGAAGTATGTAAATTCATTTATTTATTAACATAGGACTCGGTGACTCAAAATCGTCAAAATAAGCATATTTTTCATTTTTGTCTGATCTGGGAATTTATTTTAAAAAATTGGAAACGAGCTGCTTAACGACTTGGGTGATGAGTAACAAAGTCCTACATGCGTTATTAATGAAATATCACTGAATAATTGGGTCATATTTTTGCAGAGTGTCTTCAAGCATATCGAGCCAGGAACGATGGAGAATTTCCGGCTCGGTAAAATTTCAAAGTTTTAATTTATTTTACCTTATCTTTAACCAAATCTTGACCATTTGTTTATTGTAGAATAATGTTCTACCGAGACGGCGTGGGTGAGGGACAGCTTCGATACGTGGTGGAAACTGAACTGGTCGCATTGCAGGTTAATTTTAGACTTTAAATAAACTCTGGTGTCTGGTGTTTCGAACTTATTCCTTGTTTTTTAGAGCGCTATCACCGACTATTATGGGGACCAAGATGCACCCAAATTTTCCATGGTCATTGTAACCAAGCGGATCAATACACGCATGTTTCTCGCCGTGGGAAAGGACAACAGGGTCGCAAATCCTCCTCCTGGATCAATTATCGACGATATTATTACCTGTCCAGAGAAGTAAGGATACCTAAGTTAACAACCGTTAAATGTATTTAATTTCGTTAACGCTAGACTCGATGCCTCGTCGTTAAAATCGCAGCACATTTTTAATCATTTCTTGACTTTAAAAATTATGGACGACTAATTTGTAGAGCAATGAGTTGTCAATTTTTTAAACTATACACTACAGATTTTGATATTTTTTGAAGGAAGAGATTTCAAGTTTATGAAGCCTCCCTAAAAATTGTAACTCGTCGAAACTGGCTTAAAAAACTCGGCGCCATTCCATCAATCAACTCACTGAGGACAAATTTGTCGTCCAGAATTTTGAAATAAATTCCCAGAGTGGATAAATGATTAAAAATGTGCCAATTTTGACAATCTTCATCATCGAGTCGTTCTTAAAGTTATATTCTGTTTTTATTGCAGGTATGACTTTTACCTTGTTCCACAAACGGCTCGTCAAGGCACCGTGTCACCCGTTGGATTCAACATAATTCACGACACGTCTGGGCTAGATGCCGATAAAATGCAGCGCTTTTCCTTCAAGCTCTGCCACGGATACTTCAACTGGAGTGGGACCGTGGCCGTCCCAGCGCCGTGTCAATACGCCCATAAACTCGCCTTCTTGACCGGTACGGCTCTCCTGAACGAAGCTCGGGAGCCTCTTCTCAACAATTTGCATTATTTGTAATCACTGCAAATTAAAATCCTAACAAAACTTTAGATTTAGTTGAAACCCAGACGAGTTTTAAAACATTAATGAATTGTTACTTATTTGGAAGTCATGAATTGTTACTCAATTTTCTAATACTCAAATTTTCGTTTAGTTTCAAATAATTTTGGTAATTATTTATTTCTATTTTACTCATTTGAAAGTATTCATGCAAACAATTCTGTATGAATTCTTGCCATAATTTGTCAAGTCATAAACTATTGACTCATTTGACTCCGGTCTTATATTTGTGATAAATGTAGTCGCACAAATTAAGATACTCGTAAGTTATAGATTTGGTTTAAACCTTATAATCATTAATGAGATGTAACTCATTTAGAAGTCCCCTTGTTACGCTATTTCATGAGTTTCTAATAATTTTGATAATTTATTATCCCTATTTCACTCGAAGATATCTATGCAAAGGAGTCCTATTGAAGTAGATTTTAAATCCAAAAGAATGGGTTCGTTTGACTAGGGTCCTATATTTTTAAAAGGTGGTAATTGTAGTCGCCACAAATTAAAATACTCGTAAGCTACAAATAGATTTAGTTTAAACCCACGGGTTTTAAAACATTGATGAATTGTTGCCCAATTTTCTAATAATTTTGGTAATTTATTATTTCTATTTTACTCATTTGAAAGTATTGATGCTAATAATTCTGTTTGAATTCTTGTCATAATTTGTTAAATCACAAACTATTACATTTATCTAAAAGGTGACAATTGTATAGTCACTACAAATTAAAATACTCGTAAATTATAGATTTAGTTTACTTACACCTGTGAGATTAAGCCAATGATATTAATGAATTGTTACTCATACTTGTTACGCTTTTTCATGAAGTTTCTAATAATTTTGATAATTTAGTATTCCTATTTTACTTATTTGAAGATATCCATGCAAATAATTCTGTATGAATTTTTGTCATAGTTTGTCAAATCAAAAACCATCGAATCATTTACATATCTATGTTTTTATATATTTAAAAGGTGGTAATTGTATTAACTACAAGTAAAAATACTCGTAAATTATAGATTTAGTTTTAAAAACAGTAATGAATTGTTACTCAAATTGTTGTTTTTTCGTCAAGTTTCTAATAACTTTGATTCTTTCCTATTGATATTTTACTTATTTGAAGATATGCTATGGAAAAAATGCTCTACAATTATTATCATAATTTGTCAATTCAAAAACCTTTGTTTATCTATGGGCGTACTCACGACAACTTCTTATTTCGCATCGCAACTCATTTAGCAAACTTGCGAAGATCAAAATTTTTCTGTCGTGAGGGGATTCGCAAAATATAACTTCGCAAATCTCTCCAATCTCGCAAATCTACTGAAAAATGTCTATCTTGGTATTGTTTCCATGGATTTCTTTCATTTCCCTTGCTAGCGATGATGAGGATGAGTTTGCGAAGTAATTTTGCGAAATAAGAACATGCCCAATTGCTGGATAAATTTGCGAAAAAAAATCCCATGGTTTTCCAGCAAATTTTTTGCGAAATCTCGCATATCTCGCAAAACTTCGCAAGTTATGTTGCTATGCTCAATTTGCGAGATATGCGAAGGTTGACGTGAGTACGCTCTATGTTTTTTATATTTAAAAGATGATAATTGTAGTCACTACAAACTAAAATATTGCCAAATTATAGATTTAGTTTAAACTCTCGAGTTTTAAAACATTAATGAATTCTTCCTTAAATTGGAAGTCAAATTGTTATGTTTTTTGTTAAGTTTCTAATAATTTTGTTAATTAATTATTGCTATTTTACTCGTTTGAAGATATCAATAATTCTGTTTGAATGTATGCCATAGTTTACTTAATCAAAACCCATTGATTCATTTGAATACGGTTTTATACATTTACGAGGTGATAAATGACACGTACGGTAATTTTCTAATCCTGGTTTTCATGTTGTTGTTACATGTTAAAAATATGAAAATTAATTAATTAATAAAGTTAATCAAAATGGAGAAAGTTTGTGGTTTTTGCAGTAATTAATTTCGTCACGTGTGAGTTAATCTAATCAACACAGTTTTTTTAGTAATACAGGAAAACAATGGCATTTTAATCAAATAATATTTTCGAAAATTTGTATTCCTGTTACAAATCGTTAATTCAAAATTTCCCAAATTTTACACCTCGATCGGAACCTCCACGCTGCTCCCCGCGTACGGACCGGTCGGCAGTGTGACGTCCTTTTCGACTAAAACCCCACCAATCTCCGCGGCCACGTGCACATCTCCCACCATCGTTTGAGACGGGTCAGCCACCCCCAAAGTCCACTGGGTGTCCCCTCGTCCTTCCAGGATGAGCAGGATGGGAGCCTGGCTGACGAAAATCCAGGGGACGACTTCCACCCCGGTCGAGTAGTTGGTCGGGGACAGGAAGGCGACCGAGATGACGACCACGTCCAGCGATGAGTACGTCGTACCCGTCACGTTTTCCGAGCGGGGTAGCAACGTTACCCCGCCAAGAGGGGACGACTACGTAAATATTTACAGATATCGCAGTTAAATAACATGGATTCGTTTATTTCATCGATGTTTTAATTTAAAGCTCAATGAATCATCATCAAAATCAGCACATTTTTAATGATTTCTCCGCTCTGGGAACTTATTTTAAAATTCTGGACGACAGATTTGCCCTCAGTGAGTTGATTGGTAGAATGGCGTCGAGTTTTTTGAGCCAGTTTCGATAAGTTCTAATTTTTCTGAAGGCTTTTTAAACTTGAGGTCTCCTCTTTCAAGAAGTGTCAAAATCTGGAGTGTATATAGTATATTTCTTAAAAAATTGGGAACGACCTGCTCCACAAATTTGTCTTCCATAATTTTACAATAAATTTCCCGAGCGGAGAAATGGTTAAGAATGTGCTGATTTTGACGATGATGTTACGTTAACTTACCTCGAACTCCTCCCTGTCCACGCCCACCCTGACGACGTAGGGGACCTCGTCCCCCCCAACCCCCGCGGCATGGCTTACATACGCCACAAAATGCGTCTGGTTCTCAGTCCCCACAGAAATCCCGATCTCCGACCAATTCGCCACCCTCGCCACGACCCCCGCGCTAAGGTTGACCTCCTCCCCGAACGAGTAGCCGACCCCGTCATGCCACACGGTTCGCGAGGCTTGATTCTCCACCCACCCATCGTCCCCTAAACTGACCCCGTCCACCCACACGGACCCCAAGGCTTGTCTCTGGTCCAACGTGGTAACCATCGTACCTGTCCAAAAAATATTTCTTCATTCAAAATTTTGTAAGTTTAAAAAGAGGGGAAAAATTATTCGTTGATTATTCATTTTTTTTAAATTTTGAAAAAAATATTCGTTCTTCATGAATTTATTGAGTAATGAATGAATATGCATTCTCGATTAACGAAGGGCTCGTTGACCTATCGTAAAAATAGACATATTTTTAGTCATTACTACGCTCTGGAAATTTATTTTAAAATTCTGACGGACAAATTTATAGAGCAGGGAGTTGCCATTTTTTTTGGAAATATACACCCCAGATTTTGACACTTTTTGGCAGAGGAGATCTCAAGTTTAGGAAGCCTTCAGAAAAATTGTAACTCGTCGAAACTCGCTTAAAAAACTCGACGCCATTCCATCACTGAGGACAAATTCGTTGTTCAGAAATTTAGAATAAATTCCCAGAGGGAAGAAAGGTTAAAAATGTGCGGATTTTGGTACGGAGTCATCGAATTAACCGTTACCCGCATTCCAATCGAGGTTGACGAACTGCACGGCGTAAACAGCGGGGAAAAAGAAGTACGTCTTCGCGAAGGCATGATTCCCCACCGCAGGGTCGACGTGGGTCATCACCGCGAGCGATGCGCTGCCCAACGTGACCGCGCCCACGAGGGGGTCGCGCCCCCTCCGCTGGACGAGCGAGCAGCCCAGCGGAACGCCACCGTAGAGCGAGCTCGTGCCCGGGATGAGGTCCCAGTCCCACGCGCCGAACACGTTGGTGTACTCGTGCCCGGATATCTGCGTGTAGATCGTGCCATCCGAGAGGTGATAACCGTACGGATTTTGACCATTGTTGCACTCGGAGTTGGTCGTCCGGGAAGAGTACATTTTCAACGTGGTGGTGTAACCAGGGCCTCGATTTACCTGGTGAATTGTTTGGAAAAATTAGCGTAATTTCGTATTCTTATCAAAATACAGCGTCGAAATGCACATTTTTTTAATTTCCGAGCCGTTACAGCCACAATAAGACGACAATCTACATCGAGCAGTCCAATGAACATACATGTTTTGTGAAGAAATCCACTTTTATGAGTATCAAATTATATACATTGGAGCAATTCACGCAGTCCTTTGTAACTTTGTAAAATCCATGCATTTTGTACCATAATTTTACTAGCTTTTATAAAATAAAGAGACGCCCTTGATCTGAGCAAGTTTAAACAAATTTGTATCCTAATTTCCCTTCAAAATAGGAATACAATTTTGTAAACGTTTGTAAGGTTACAGAATTTAATGATTTAAAAAATGCAGTAATTTGACAGCGATAAAGCGTTAATTTCTTCACAAAAGACACATTTTGGTTCAACTGTTACAAATATTCTCAAATGAAGATTCTCCAATTTTTGGAGCTGTAACACCCCCGGAAATCCAAACCTTGCCCTTAACCTGTTGTATTTTGACCACTTACCAAAAAATCAGCCGTATGGAAATACCGACTTCCCATCAACATCCCATCCGGTTCCCTCAGCCTGGCCACCATTTCTCGAAAAAGGTCGCCCTCCGCCCAGTCCCCCGTGGCTGCGAGGACGTCATCCAACCTGAGGTCAATCCCACTCCAGTCCTCCCACTTGTGCGAGACCATCCTCCCGATCGCACTATAACTCCAGCTCAACTGGTCCCCCTTCCGGTACATGAGCCACTCCGACCCCATGAAAAGCGTGGTGAAGGCTTCCGTCACGAAATCCGGTGGGGGCGACAGGCTCGTCCCGGTCGACTCGAGAAACCCGGAAATCATCTGATTCATAAAAACTTTTCCGTAATTTCCGGTATAAATTTGGCCATCGTGCTGCATAAAGGCGCCGTCCACCTTGATCCCGTCCACAGTTGGGGGTCCGACTAAACGTGTTTATTTAGGATGTGATGAGTTATCGTCAAAATAGGGAAAATCAACACATTTTTAGGAATTTCTCGGCTCTGGGAATTTATTTTAAAATTCTGGACGACAAATTTGTCTTCAGTGAGTTGATTGATGGAATCACGGTGAGTATTTTAAGGCAGTTTCGATAAGTTCAAATTTTTCCGAAGGCTTCTTAACCTTGAGATCTTCTCCGTCAAAAAGTGTCAAAATCTGGAGTGTATATTTTTACATAATTGGCAACGACCTGCTACACAAATTTGTCTTCCAGAATTTTAAAATAAATTCCCAGACCCCAGAAATGACTAAAAATGTGCTACATAATTTTACAGATTTTTCTGCGATGAGTCGTACATGAAAGACTGCACTCTTCCCAGCATCTCGTCGACGCCGCGACGAGCATGGCGTGATCATTGGTCAAAACCGCCAGAGATTTCGCGATTGACGCGACATCCAACAAGTTCGCGCCCGTCATGGGTCCCATTGAGCCATTGGGGTCGCCGTCAACCCGCTGCCAGGATCGCGCCATTTGTACCGAGCACGTGTCCAGTTGGCTGGGCGTCAGTGCGGGGGCGAGAAGAAGGCAGGCTGACCCGACCAGACCAGGAATCAGGATCATTTGGCAGTACCAGTTCGTATTCCAGTAGCCCGGCGTCCCACACGGACACGTCAGCTCGGCCCGTCCCCCCGCATTGATACAATCGGGGGACGTGAAGTCGTTGGATAACCAGTGGGTCAAGGAGGCGTTGGCGGCCGCGAGGAGGAACGGGTTACCGGAAGTGGACCACACGGCGGCCATCGTTACTACATATATAAAGTCGAGGTTGAATTTTACTTCTATCGTTGATAACTTGCGCCATTGTTATAATTTAACTATGGCGCAAGTTAGGTAGGGAGTGAAATATAAATGCTGCTTAAGGTCAAGGTTGTTTTGGTGGGTATAATTTATTTATAAATTTCTTAATTACTCACGAGTGTTATGAAGATGGTCTTGTGCTGGCCAGTTGGCTCGTCTGTGGATTAATTTAACACGTTATTAGCCATTTATTCCAATTATTAGGCGTACTCACGACAATCTTTTATTTCGCGAATCGCAGGTAGTTTGCGAAATAATGAAGCAATTCACGGAGTCACATTTTACAAAAATTCATAATTTTCCTTCGAGCATAATTTTGTAAAAGTTTATAGGTTTACGAAGTTTACGGATTTTAAAATGTTACCAATGCCTGTGTGAAATGTCTCAATATTTTAAAGTAGAAAGCATGCCTGCTGGGTAAATTTAGGAACAAAAATCGCATCCTTTTCCGGCAAAAAGTATACCCAAATTTCTCAAAAATTATGCACAATTTGCCAAGATTGTTGTAAACATGATTACGTAATTGTTATTAAATTAGCTACCTTGCCGGACATCCCGCCGTATAATCGACACTTGCCCAGGTCCCTTCTGCACTCATTTGGAGCAACAGCGTCGTTGCGGCTTCTTCGTTAAAGTACTGATTCCGAATTCTGGTCACTCTCCGTTCCAGAATGGTGGCCAGGTCAAGCTCGGGGTCTTGTGGGGTCACACACGGCAAAAATAAGGCGATGCATGCCACCCACAAAAAACAGGATGGCCTCATTTCAACGTATTTAAAATTCTTAACAGACCAAAATATACGTAAAATTCTTTCAAGTCAGTTAACTAACCACAATTAACTAACTGGTTGATTGTGATGCTTTTATACTTACTTATTTAAATATCTAGACCAAACCGACTTCTTCTTATCTGTATTAATAACAATGTCGTGATAGTTAATCAATCGATAATTTAATAAATAACACTTTGTCATTATAAATTATCAGTTAATTAAAATTATTTAGTAAGCCACACTTTTCATGCATGCAAACTTAAATATTTACTCATACTCACTAATCGTAAGATAAGTAAATTATACTTTATTTATTTTCATTTGATGACGCACACAATTTTGAAGGTGTGGTCCACTCCACAACTCTAATAGAGGGGTAAAATTTCGAAATATTTTTCGATATTTATAGCCAGTCATAAGTATTAAAATTTTCTTTGTATTTCATTTGGTTTAAAATATTTTAAAATATTGATATAAATTATAGTTTGACATTTCTGAGATTTTAGACAATCAGATTGTTTTTATGGAGAAATTTATCTGCAAAAAACTTGTGAGAATAAATATTTCATAATTTGAAAAAAATGCTTTAAAACTCATAATACTCTTCCCTAAAAGAATACAATTCCGAAATTCTTGTACAATTTGCATCTCAAAAAACACTAAAAATCTGCTCTCCTCCTCCTTACCCACCAAACTTCTTATTGTCTGTCGTCTGACAAATAAAGAGGAATTTTTAAAAAATATTTTTTTTCTTCAGAAATTCGATTTAAAAGATTAGTTTTCTTGAAATTTTCCAGTTCGATAATAATTCGTATGTATCTCTTGCAACCAAAGACATGCTACAAGTTCAGGAAATTAATAAGAAATCCTCCAAAAATTCTAAGTTTTTCACGTACCATAAATTTCTTAAAAAATAAAAATTACAAAATAGCTCTATTCCTATTACCACATATTGCATACACATAACCAGAAGTAAATACGTCACCGTTCACCACCACCGTTTCGGTAAAGAATATCCCACCAAGAAAAAACCAAAACCCAACAATCACCTAGTAAAAGTAAAGGGTTGACTTGACATCAAGGCGTGATCTTCACAGGGTGGATATGTATTTACCAAGAATCGCTGAAGTATAGATTTAATAAATATTTCGGAAAAAAACACCAAATATTTACGAAATGGGTATGAAATAAAATATGATAATAATAAGAATTTTCTCACAAATTTCTATTTCAAAAATATAATTCTTTTGATTTTTTGTAGTAAAATTGCTTGGAAATTTTGTGAAAATTGCGTCTCACATCGTTTATATATTTACAAAATATATTCGCATTTCTGAAAAAAATGTGTCAAAGATTTACATATTTTTCAAATAATATCAGAAATATTTATAAATTTTGTCTGAACACCTAGAAATATGTAAAAAATATTTTGAAACTTTTGTGCCCTACACGAGTTAGGCAAAACACCAACAAAGTTTGACCCTCCGTCGTCACCAAATTCCAAAAGTCGACACTATATAAATGCATACATATCCGTCCTCTCCTCATAAAAGGAAAGGTTTCTCATTCTTTTTATTACGTCAATCCATAAGCACAAAGTGAGGAAGATGAAATTCAAGATTCTCGAGTCGAGAAATCTTCAAATAATCGCTGAAATATGTATAAATTGGTCTAAAAGCTTAGAAATATTTAACAAAACATGTAAAAATATCTTAAAATTTGTGTCATCTATAAAATTTAGGAAACACTCTCTCAAATTTTGACTCTCATAAAGTCTAAAATAAATAAATACTTATCCATCCTCTGCTCATGAAAGGAAAGGTTTCTCATTCTCATCTCCCCTTCTTATTATTACGTCCTCCATCCATAAGCACTTGGAAGTAAGTGAGTGAGGAAGATGAGACAAGAAGAAGATGAGCACACACGTAACAAAATGATACGTAAAATGCGACCAAAATGCAATCCACCACTTTTTTATTTACGTGTGCAATATATGCAGTTACGATTCTTTCTGCTCCTCAGTCTCCGTCCAGCACTCGCACATGCAACACACACGCCATCCCCTTTTTTTCACGCCGTTTTTATCATTAAGCTGGATTTTTTTAGTTAATCAAGAGTTAACTAACTATACATAGTTAAGTAAGTGGTTAGTAGTGGAGTGACGTTGTTTACCCCTGAAAAATTTCGTCCACTTCGACCACACCCACGTGACCCGTTGTACTGTGATATGTAAAATATTTGAGATTTTTCTTTTATATCGTGTACGAAAAATTGTGGACACAAAATATATTTTTCTGAAAAATTGTGGGCAGTTCGGAAACAACATAGATTTTTCTGAAAAATTGTGGGCAGTTCGAAAACTAAATAGATTTTTCTTCTATATTGTGCCTGACAAATTGTGTACATTTCGGAAACTAAATAGATTTTTCTGAAAAATTGTGGGCAGTTTGGAAACTTCTGAAAATTTGTGCTCAGCTCGGAAACTAAATAGATTTTTCTAAAAAATTATCTCAAGTTCGGAAGTGTTCGATAAGGAGTGTACTTTAAGGCCAAAATTATGGTTTTTATGTATTTTTAACACTAATTTTACCGGATTATACAAAAAGGTGAGTAAAAATTCCGTGGAAATTTTTTTTTCAGCCAGTATTTTCTTCCTCGCATGCGTATAATTTGCGGGTGTGGTTAGTTGTGGGAGGATCATCCCCTTCCTGCTTTCTGGACGGCACGGCATTTACGTGCACAACATTTCATGACGATGATAATAATAATAATAACACGCTCTGCACTCCAGAAGAAGAGAACAGAACAGAATGTGTCAGTCAGGGTCACATGGATGGATAAATAAATGGACTGTTTTTTTCTACTATTAACTAACTATTTAGTAGAAGTTTTATGTTGTAGGAAGGAAAAAACGAACGAACGAACGACGAGAAACTTTAATACCGTCCTTCGTTTCGTTTAATGATTATGATTTTGATTTCGTTTTCATGCGAGTTTACTTTACTCACACGGTTTAAACTGATAGTAAATAAATGAAGTTATACTTTGTATAATCGTCACGGTCAGAGAATGAGAGTTGTATATACATAATGCGTGGTATTTGAGGGGGGAAATTAATTTAAATGGGGGGGGGGAATTATCATGAATGTTCTGGGAAATTTTATGATTTTACTGCATTTAAAGCCAGGTTTCTTGGAATTTTATGGAAAAGTCTTGATTTTGATTTCGTTTTCATGCGAGTTTAGTTTACTCACACGGTTTAAACTACTGATAAATAAATGAAGTTAAAGTTAAACTTTGTCTGGTTTTGGTATGTAATAGTCACGGTCAGGGAATGAGAGATGTATATACAAAGTGCGTTGCATTTGAGGGGAGGGGAATTAATTTAAATGGGGGGGAATTACCACAAAGTTCCTGGGAAATTTTATGACTTTGCTGCATTTAAAGCCAGGTTTTTTTGGAATTTAGTCGAAAAGTCTTGATTTTGATTTTGATTTTATTTCCATGCAAATTTGCTCACACAATTTATTAACTGAAAAATAAATAAAGATATACTTTGTCTGGTTTTGATACTTACAGGATAATCGTCAGAATGAGCGTTTTCCATTGGGGACATTACTTGAAATGGGGGCGAAATTTCCGGGATACAAGTTTCCGAGATATTACATGATTTTACTGTATTTTTAATCAAAGTTTGGACTTTTGTGGAAAAGTTTTGATTTTGATCTCATTTTCATGCAAGTTTAAACTTATAAAGTTTATTAACTGATAAATAAATAAAGTTAAACTTTGTCTATTTTTTGTATATATCACGTAACGGTCACAGAATGAGAGTTAACTTTAGGGACCATTAATTTAAATGGGGGCGAAATTTCCACGAATATTTGTTGTAATTTAAATTGTGAATTTATCTAGGTTTCCAAGTTGTAGGATATTTTATGATTTCACTATTTTCATCCAACCAAGGTTTGAACTTTTATGGAAAAGGTTTGATTTGAACTCACAGTTTAATTGGTAAATAAATAAAGTTAAACTTTGTCTTTGTACAAAATAATCGTTACTGTCACAAAATGAGAATTGTGCAATGGGGACATTAATTTAAATGGGGACAAAATCACGGCAAACGTTCCTACAAGTTCTAGTTTTATGATTTTATAAATCCAGGTTTGGACTTTTGTGGAGGAAATCAGGCTGAGTTTTATATCGTGATTTGATTGCTCTACTAAATAAAAAAAAACTATTTTATTCTGGTTAGTTGGTCGATTGGTAGTACGTTTATATTTCCGTAATGAGAACCTTAATGAGAGAAATTGTTGCTGGACTGGACGAGAACTGGAGTCTTCTTAATTACTTTACTGGATAAATAGTAGTAAAATCTCCCAACAATGAGACTTTGTAAGGGAGCCAGAAAGGTCTGGTTGGTAGGTTGGTGGTCAAGTTGGGGTAAGCAAGTGGAGTAAATTAGGAGAGGAATTTGCCTCAATAGGATCATTAAGAGGGAGAAAAAGGAGAAGAATTAAGGTCGAGTTGCTGCTCCAGATTGGATTTTACTACTGGACATGCTTTTGTGCAGGGAGGGATAGCAGTGGCCGCGGAAGGAAGGGTGAGGGGACAGAGGGACAATGTCCCCACGGTTGTTCGATACCAGCATCTTATATAAACCTAGCTCTTCCCTATATTCTATATATAATGTTAGCGTCCCCACATATCCCCACGGCTTCCGCGGCCACTGATAGATAGCTTGGATTTTTAGGGGAGAAAGAGCTCACGGTTTAACGAACTAAGGGCTGCCTGATGACCGAGTTCAAGTTGAAGTTGACCCACACCCAACCGAGTGATGATGAGTAAATAGTAATAAAATAAAATCTTCCTTAGTTTTTAAGAAGCTGCCTAGCGAAATATTTTTTGGAGTAAGTATTGTACCAGACAGGTCCAATCCAAAATGTTAGATAATGTTGTCGGCAGACAGAGAAAAAATCCAGTGCAAAACAGAAAGCGATTTCTTTTCCCAAGTTATGTACATATGTAGATTAATTATTGAGATAATTCACACAGGCCTAGGTTACATTGTAAATTTCCCTAAACTTACAAATTTTTACAAAATTCTCGGAGGAAAATTTAGCTACACGTTTTTATACACTTGCTCAGATCAAGTTTTTAAAATTGTGGTACAAGGATTTTACAAAGTTACCAATGACTGCGTGAATGATATACATATATCAATTTCATAACGATGTAGTTTTAATTTAATTACAATTAAGTCGCCTATAAATACTTGTGTTATCTTCGCTGTTCTATTCTATCTAAATGCTGCATATGCTATTATACATGTGCATCTGTCTTGGCATGCACTCACTTTTGACCACTTTTGCGTATTTGGCATTCTCGTCATTCTTTGTAAATATGTGTCCTCCTCCTCCTCCTCAATCTTATTTAAGCATACATACTTTAATCTCCACCGTGTAAATAGCGTCAGTGGCGACGGAAGCTGGAGGGAGGACATGTGGGGACACCAACATTGTAGGATATTAGCATAGGCATGACACGATTTTACTTAATTTCCGTCGGGAACAATGTCCCCCCGTCCCCCCGCTTCCGCCGGCAATGGATAGCATAGTCCTGTTTTTTAGTTGATCATCCCCATTATCACCAGCCCAGCGCGGCCCCACCCTTAATGTGACCACGCGGCAATTAAATTCCCCATCAAGCTTACATACGTACACTAATTCCATTGTGTGTGACGCATCTGCATCTCTGCCTGCACTCAAATGAAAATCTAGAAGGAATTTAAATATGTATATTTATGAGTGAGGTTGCTTGCCAGTCTAAACTAATAAGAATATAACACCACACCACTCACTTATTCGAGGATAGATGAGCGAGTTCAATGAACAATTCGTAGAAGAAGAAGATGTCCACATTAAATAATAATATTATGCATGCACCCATATCGTCCAGTCCAGTAAAAGTATTTAGGAATTAAATAAGTAAGTAAGCTGAAGGGCAGGGTTGGGCTAAATACTTTGGAAAATGGAGGCACTCTATTTTGAGCTCTGTTTTTCCCAGGGGCTGGATTTTTTTGGGGGGGGACAAGATACGCCCACAAAGCACGTAGAAAATATGTGAAGAATTTGTCAAAATACTTTGTTTTTTTTAACTGTGAAAATAATGAGGCAATTCACGCAGTCTTTGGTAACTTTGTAAAATCGGTGCAGTTTGTATCATAATTTACAAAATAAGGAAACGCCGCCCTTGATTTGAGCAAGTTTTCAAAAATTTGTAGCCTAATATGCCTTCCAAATATGAGTAAACTTTTGTAAAATTTTACGGAATTTACGGATTTTGCAAGGTTTATAATGTTACCAAGGCTTGTGTTAATTTTCTCATTATTTTGACAGATAAAAAGTGAATTTCTTTACCAAACACATATTTTCCATCTTTTTGTAGGTGTAGTGTAATACCCACCAAAATCCAAACCTTTTCCGCTCAAAAAACTGCATTTTGCCCAAGTATTTTGCCCAACTCTGATACAACTCTGAGAAAAGATTGTCCGCTAATACGTCCTCCTCGAACTTGGGCATGCATCCCATTTCTTTGCTGACTGGAGTGGACAAATGTACTCAAGGGATGGGCGAAGAAGATGATGATGAAGTGCAAATTGACTAGGATGAGAATATTATTATCATTTTTTGCACAAATTATGCATTACACACTTCGCTGCAGAATAATACTTCGGGTGCTGGTTTTATGTATGCACTGTTGACTATAGGGAAAAAATCTGTTCTTATTTGGGATACATACGAACCAGAGGGTGGATATATATTTACGAAAAATCAAAAAAGTATGTATTAAATTATGCAGCGATCGGACATCGAAAAAGTGCAAGTTTTTCCATTCAAAAATACTTTTTATGCATGAAGATTCAGAAATTAAAGGCAAAAACGCGGCCAAAAAGTGCAAAAAGGCTCGAAAATGCCAAAATTTTTCTATTTACAGCCAAATTTTATACATGAAAATTCAGAAATCTTCTACAACTTACTTACAGAGGCAAAATTATGATCGAAAAAGTGTAAGTTTTCCCATTTAAAGGGTGAAAAGACTGGCAAAAACTGCCACCACACCCAATAAAAATTCTTCTTCGCACAATGCATCTCTCTTTTTTTCTTATCTTTGCGTCCACCAGTAATTAGCACTTGGCTGTCGTGTCGTTGATGGAGCGGAGGTGCCTGCCCAGCCAAAAGGACGATCGAGTACTTTTTTTTCCACCGTGTAATAATATTAGGATTACATAATGCAATAATTTTACATGGTCGATACCACCACCACCACGAGCAGTGGCCGCGGAAGGGTGAGGGGACATCGGGGGACATTACCATTGTAGGATAGGGGAAGGGCCGGGGTTTATGTGTATAAGATGGGCAGATGATGCGGACATCGAACAACCGTGGGGACATTGTTCCTCTGTCCACACACTTCCTTCCGCGGCCACTGAATACATAGACAAACTAATAACCAGATGCCGCGGAAGGCGTGGGGACATCGGGGGGCATTGCCATTGTAGGTTATGGGATAAGGGCCGGAATTATATAAGACGGGGAGATGATGCCGACATTTCATAACCGTGGGGACATTGTCCCTCTGTCCCCACACACCCTTCCGCGGGGCCTGGGAAGAGGACGAGTGAGTGACGGAGATGAATGTGTGTATTGGATAATAATAATGCAGCATTGTGGAAACAAATGGCATCGTGTGTGGAGATTTGGAGATGAAGATGCAACTCATCTTGAGGTCATCTCATCATCGACTCTCCAATAAAAAATTATCTCTCTCTCATAAAGTGAAGGGTTTCTGGTGATTGTTGTGCTGTACTGCACTGCTGGCTGGCATGTAATAAATAAATAAATAAATAAATTCCCCTCTATTAAATAAATGTAGATGTTTAAGAACAAATGAAAGTATTTACGAATGGGGGTATTCACAACGAGGCGAAAATAAAGTTGGCAAAAATAAGGTTACAAAATTGGTTGGAAAAATTAGTTGCGAATTTTTCATTTGCAACCAACCAAATTTTGAAAGTTTCTAAAATTATGATGCGAATTTATTGTAGGGAATTTAGAATCTATAAATGCCAGAAATTTTAAGTCTTTTTGTGGTCAATTAATTTATATCTCATTTAACAAACAAGGAATGTAAAGTTGGCAAAAGCAATATTAAAAATTGACTTAAAAAAATATTCGCGAATATCAAAGTATTTAATTCTGAACTAAATTTTCAAAAAATATATGATGCCAATTTATTGAAGAGAATTTAGAATTTGAAAATGTATAAATTCCCGAAATTTTAAGCCTTATTTTGTTATCGATCCAAATTACTTGTCATGAATACCCCATGATTTTTGTGCAGAAATATTTTTGCAAAAAACTATTTTCGCAAATTGTTTACTTTATTTATAACTTGTTATTCTTATCTAATTTAAGATTCAGGACGGGTTGGGCATAAGATAATTAGTTGCAGAAAATTGAATCGAAATCATAAAGAAGAATATAATAATTACGTAATTACATTAGCATTTAGAGAGAGACAGAGACCACTGCATTTTTGCCTCAGAGCAGACCAGACTACTTAATAACACATGACATTCGAGTAATAATTGAAGCTGTCTACTTATTTCATTACTGAAATAGTTAATCAACCCAAGCAATAAGCACCCAAGGAGAGAGACAGGCAAAAAACAGAACAGAACAGAACAGAGAACACTGAAACAATGGGACATTACACGTTACATATTATTTATTAGGACATACATTCATACATGTGTGCCTTGGTGAGGTATGTGTATGTGCAGTGGCCGCGGAAGGGTGACGGGACAGAGGGACAAATGTCCACAGGTTGTTCGATGTCGGCATAATTTGTCCCTCTTTTATTAACCCATCCTTACTCTATCCTACAATGTTAATGTCCCCATAGCTTCCGCGGCCACTGGGTGCCCCAGACTTATTGTGACACAAGGAGACAATGGCCGCGGAAGGGTGAAGGGACAGAGGGGCAATGTCCCCGCGTTTGTTCGATGTTCCCGCCCATGTTATACAAACCCGGGGGGTGTCCCTCATCTTACAATGACAATGTCCCCCCCCCATGTCCCACCACGGCTTCCGCGGCCACTGGCTGTATGTATGAGGTGAGGATTGATAGATTAATTAGTTATGTGTTAAATTGCTTAATGTGTAATTATATAATTTAATTGTGCTTTGTGGAATTGAGCGCATATTTCATTTTAATGTGTGGGTTATATAACACACACTTTTTTATGTGCTTATGTACTTATGTACGTACATCCGGGCCTGAGTT